AGTCGAATTATTCACATTAATATCACGGACTCGTTTAAACTGATTACATAGAACTATACCGAGAGGGGGTTACAACACAATGAATGACAGTTAATCTAAAATGACTGACTACTCCAAATCAATACATCAACGAACCAGGCAGAATAAAATATTCCATTTAAGCGTCACGTGATATGCTTCTCCCACAGGGTGCTGACGCAGGAAATTCAATGCAAACTCATTATCCTAACAATCGAAATCAATCGCAGAATATCCATATAAGGATAAGTGAAGGACAAACATTTTTAAACAAAATACAAAAGCATTTCCAATGAAGGTTAATTAGAGAGTCCATTTTTTCACTGTAGGGAAATTCCACTTAGGGTTTAATTATGTGTTTATAGAATGGAATGCTTATTCAAATAATCCCGTCATGGTAATAAGAATTTTATGATAAAGTATTCATGTCTGGTTATATATCAACCAGTCATATTACACTTTGTTGAATCTATACGACCCATGGGCCCTGTTAGCGGAAAAACAGGATATTTTTTTCTAAAGTGTTCATTACGCCTGGGCTCGTTGACCTAGTACCTAATGTAGATATTCTTTGTTAACTTGGATGCATATATCCATACTAACAAACAATCAGCGGACCATTGAATGTTATTGTACTCATAAACAATGTCATATGTAGAGATAATGCATATTTTATAGAAACAACAAGGATATTAAAAAAAATTCCAAAAACAAGATTCATTACTAATTAAGATACATCGATCACTACGAATACCAAGAATTCGGAATACAAAATTGTTAAAAAATTCCACTTTGGTGTAATTTTATCATTAAAAGAAGGTGAAATAACTGTTAATGTCAGGTCCTAGTTTCACAAATCCTCCTTAACGCTTGGAAATATTAAACTGACTAGAAAAGCATTACGTAAGTTAAGGGGAAAACAAATCTAAGAAATACAATATTTTTCGATGGGCAATTTTAAGATAAAGAACATACCCCTTGAATTAAGGGAGGTTTCTGAAACGGGGGCCAGAACAAACGGGTTCCTCATTCATTTTAAACGTGTAGACTTCTCGGCAGACTCCGCTTACATAAACAGCATACATGTATATTATATCGTCACATATTACCGGGAAACAACTTAATTACTTTTAATCATTCATGTACATGTAATCTCCATTATCTAAAAGACATATTATTATTAACACGTCATGAATGTAAATTCTATAAATGAATTTTCAGTCCTCATGCCGTCTAAACGCTTCCTCGGTTACAACTGTTTTGCATGAATCCCGCTATGAAGATTAAAAAATTTAATTGGTTTTATGAATATATTTTCTTTTTTCTGGTCCACAATATTATAATATAAAACTTTCCCTGGAATGTATATCATGTGGTTACTTGAAGATTGTCGATAAACAATGAAAATACCGTACACAACTACACAACGTGCATATAAATTTTTATTCTTTGTTTCATAAATCACAAAATAATTTCATGTCAAGCGGAACTAAAAACTATTCATTAAAAGCTGGTTACGTTTATATACTTAACCAAAAATGTTATCATCGCCCGACGCAAAATGTGGCGACACAATCCAGGTTGGTTTGATCCGGTGAATAACGACGAAGTGAAGAGTTAATAATAGACAATTGTCAGTGAACTGATATAATTTTTGATAACGCTCGATCTGGTCGAAGCAACTTGTACAACCCAAACAAGTGGGTTAATGAACTGATCTATTACTATCAGCTGATCTCACCAACATCGAGTGATAGGTTGTGATTTCATTCTGTCGTTTGAAACCATTCCCATAGATAGGATCATGAAACCACGTTTTTGCTAACTAAATTAGATTTTAAACGGTGGTGCAAACATAGAGGTTTTATAAAAATGATTACGTAAACCAGTGATAACCAGTTCGTTGCTCAGTGCTCATTGAATACGCCATTTTACAACACTACAATAGTTATGCGAGTCACTTACTACATACGCTATTGAAGAGTAACCGTTATGTTCCACATGCAGAAAGTATTTATTTACTAAAATCAACAGAATCAAGCAGATGATTTTCTCTATACAAACAGGACAGATGTATTACTACGCATAAAAAGTAGTACGTGAATTGTACTGATACCATAGCTTTACGAACATTTTCTTTCTCTGGTAATCTTATTATTCGAACATATTTGATGCTGGTTAGTTTGCCTGTTGCTTGGGTAGTTGTATATTTTGCTCTCATTTGAAAACATGACAATACTTACTTGGATTGACCAAGGTCTACATGAATCATTGTTGTCATGTTGGTATTTTCTTGATGCTTATTATAAACAATAGCAACGCAAATTTAAATATAGTTTTGTAGTGACGTTTCAATTGTAATAAAGGAAAACGTGAAAATAGGATTAAAAGTGTAAATGTCTCTTGTGTTTCTTTTTTAATTGATATTACTATTTCTTTGAAATCTATAGAAAAATTTAAGTGAGGATTATAGAATGACAACAATTTAGACGTCGAAACTTTTTACTTCAAAAAGTATATCACGTACATGCCGATTTAATTTCTCTTCGTTAAGCAGAGCAACCTATTACCACACAAAGAAAACCCTGAAAATATTCTCTCACACACATACCCACAATTGCTTGCTCTCTTCCTAATATATTCTCACTTCCTCATTTATCCTTTGCTCACTCAAGTACACACATCGTCATAACACACTTGCTTTCTCTCTCGTCCACACCTTTCTCCTTCGCTGTCACTCTCGCATACAAATAATACTTACTACTGAAAGATGAATTTAACTCATCGAATAAATATGGTTGCCATTTTTTCTGATCACGTTCAAAAAAATTAAATTGCATCAATAAAGATCAAAGGGATTTCCTACATAAAACTCTCTTAACCGATATATACCAATCAAAAACATTATATTGTTTCAAAATCCTTTATTATGTTGATGCATATACAATATTTTATTAATATCTTTGAAAATACATTTTCAATAACAATAACTTAAAAAAGAAATATTTTTTATAAATCAAAATGACTTTGAAGATGGAGTTTAATAAATAATCTTAACGGTACTAAAGCACATATTTAATATTAATAATAACGTAGTAATGCGCTGTAATACAGTGTATAAGCTGACATTTCTGCTAGATACAATAATTTATGTACATAAAATGGTACATTCTTAAATAATTGGATACAAATGTTAGTCACTGGTATTGTTAAAACATTAAAAGTGTATTATTTAAACATTTAATGTGAACTGATTGCTAGAACTGCAGCAAGAAGAATGTTTTCTCTGTTCGTATATTCATTTCTTTATACGAACAGATTTGTAAAGAACATAAAAAGAAGTAATTTGGACAATATTAAAGAAGTTTATCTAATGATCGTGGAGTGTGCATTATGAACATCACATTTTTTCTACAAGTAATACACGGTGTATATCACAGTTTTTCTACAAGTTTTGCATGATGTATACCACTGTTTTCTACAAGCTATGAACGAGGTGTAGAATGTAGAGTATCAAAATACAATGATTTACAAGAAAATCAAAGTTATCATAAGATGTTATGCTGAAAACCTTACTACATAGGTGTTGATCACGAGTATACATAATTATGATGAAGGTGGTTGATAGTCACACCGTAATTTTTATTTCATTTGTTTCAAGAAGAAAGAAGAAACAAAGAAACAAGCCTAAAACTATCAATCAAAATTACTGAAACTTAGAAACGTTGAAAAACTACTGCACACCCAAAACCTGGATCAGCATTTGGTTTTCATAAAAACAGTGACGTAGTAAAGCAGGGATTAGAAGTAATTAGAAGTTAGATATGATTCCATGTTACCTTGTAATTTTGGTGTGGGAAGCATTATCTTAATACAAAAATATTTCTGAAGAAAACTACATATGTATTCTCCGATATAAAACCAGACATCACATTATACATAGAAAGACTTATCATACAATTATCTCTCAAATATGTGAAAGAAAACAGGTAAATTTTGCAAAGCCATTCAACTTATGAAATTAGTAATAACATGCAAGCTTGACATTGTCGGGGGTTTCTTACAACAAAATATCACATGACTTGATAAATATGAACTGTAAATCGAATTGCATTACAAAAAGACAAAGTTGCTAAAAAAAGATTGCTCATTTCAGTACAGCTTTTATCAAAATAATTGTTGGGAGAATATCCAAAATTTATCCAATATGAAAGCAAGAGAGTAATTATTCTGTTTCAACATTGATTTTACTTAACATGAAAACAAAACGTTAATAAGAATTATTCAATAACAAAATGTATCCTATTTTCCAAGGTTGAGATGCGGAAGACTAAAATTTCAGATGATATAAATTCATCATGTGGCAATGACTGACCAGCATTATCACTGCCTTGTTTCAAGACAAGATTTCATGATTCGCATGAATTTTTCTACCAGGTGTGCAGGTAAATGTCTAGCATAATAATGGGTCATCACATAACTCATCATACGAGGTGTTCAGACTTTAAATAATTTATTATTTCAAATCTACAAATAAATGAAGTTCACTCTTCAATCATTTCTTAACTTATGTAAATTAAAGCTCTTCTGTTTGTACGGGCTGTGACATTGTATCAGTTCTGTTATAATATGCAGGAATTATAAAAATATCACAGTTGCTGATAAGACCACTCAGGTTAATGTAATCAGCAGTAGATTTAGACATTATCAAAAAGCTCATCCCTATGACAGGTTCTTCCACGTATTAAGAAATGGATGATGGGCCATGTCATCATTGACAAGGATGCTGCCCGTGATTAATCCCTATATCATCATCTGTCTTTCCATGTCCAATTGCAGACTTCAGGACATATGTACACGTACTTGCAATGTCTACCGCAGCAGTGATATAGGGTAGAGATGAACCGACACTTCAGTAGATGAAGACATATCTATTTATATCAGACACTTTTTCAAAATGCTGACATGAGGAATGATGTTTTCTATGTCGTTGATACGTGGATGAGTTGGTTCAACGTGATGGGCGGCAGAAGAACACTGTGATTTCTACTTAACCTTGTTAAGGATTTCTGCAACTTCGGTGTAGCGCCGAGAGCATTTCGGATGACAACCTCTGGTAGCAATAAGTCTTTTGTTTTGGACTGAAAAGAAACAATTATCAAAATAAGGAAGAGAAAGAAACATGAGGCACAGAATTTATCTTGTCCGAGATATCATGAAAATTGTCAAAAATAGGTTAAGAAAGAAACTAATTACGGTAAAGTAATTATATCTTAAAAAAGTGATTTTGTATTTCCCCAGTTACAAAAAACACGAAATACTTGATAAGTGCATGTATTCCGTCTGAATATACTTCAATAACGATTCTATGGAAGTAAAGTGGTACGAAATGTATGATGATGTTGTAAGTAAATTTTCAGTATTCTCCTCCAGTAAGACTGAATGACTGTCGGAGTAAAGTATTTTTTTCTGATCTAGTCACATTAAAACCCAGGTTGCTATAAATTGTTTATAAACATGCCGTATTTAGAGTATTAAATCGTAACTCTTTTTTCGATCAACGGTACATCATATGTAAATTGATAAGGATATTCATTAACATCAAATCATGTTCGATAACTCTTTCAACAGAAATTCAAATGAGTTTTGTCTTACATTATATCTTATTATAGTTTAAGAAACATTGAACATTTCATATCTCAAAATCGCATCTGTGTTCTATCTACCACATCCATTATCATGTCAGTGTAAATGTGTTATGTAAAAAACGCTACAATGTATGTAAAGTATGCAGAACGTTGCTCCATAAAAAAAGAAAGTTAACAACTGCTTTCATGGAATAGATCAGCGAAAAGAAATTGAGTAAACCTTCTCAGTTTACATGTATATTCATCATACATTTGCTGAATATTTCAATGACCTTATATGGTAACGGATAATCTATGCATATTTCCAGTAAATGTAAATAATTCAGGTTCCTGTAAGGAAAAAAAAAAAAAAAAACCAAGCAGATAATTATATGCGTTTAAATTGATTGCGTGATGTTTATAGTCTTAACAGGCAAAGCCATGCAGCTGCATTACGCTTTATAATCATTATGTCCATATTTGGTGTCAAAGTTATTACAGGCGAGGGTTCTAATTTTTTGGGAAGAGCTACATGCATTTAAATAAAAAAAAACTATCCTTTTCATGACTTCCTGAAAAATATGTCCTTTTGATTGTAAATTATAAGTAAAACTACATAACGAAATGGAACCATCGAAAGAAACAGCAATGACAGTATCATTTAACGGGGGACAAAAATATTTCTCATTTTAATTGCATAGTCGTTGGAAGTAAAATTCGTTTCCAGGCAAACTGAGTAACGTACTTGGCCTTTGACTTCTGTGAATTTTAAAACATTCAATCTTTCAAATGTCTGCATGCTAGATTTGGATAATTTGTTTCCATACAATGTAGGTATTCTGTGTGCATGTATCATTTGTCAGATATTGCTCCTTACGTCTGAGTACCTTCAGCGGCAACATCTGGGATTGAAATTGCCACCAATGCACGTCTTAGATGGTAGGTGATCCAAAACGTATTTCAGAATAACATGTAGATGTCTGTGAGTTGTACCACCATGCATCATGACATGGTTTTACTGCCAACAATTGATATCCTTTCCACAAGAGGAACGATGTCGTGATTAGAGACAATGCAAATGAGACACTCTAGATTTCTAATAATTTTGCTAATAGTTTCTGCAATCTCAGTGAAGCGTCAAAAGCATTTCAGATGACAACCTCCATCCGAAGTCTTCATTATTTTTAAGATGTCAATGCTATATGACAAGCCACAAAAGCGGTATCCCATGTCTTCAGAATACTAGACATTATCACATTTCAAATGAAATACATCTTCATGTTTTCTCATCAGTGACGTGTGGGGCCCATTTTCCCCTTCGTGTTTGTACTTACATGAAGTATTGCAATTCATTGTGCAGAGTTCAATGCAGTTAGATTGTAGAGATGAAAGGCATCCACAATAAAATTGAATACAGTTTTACTCTGATCGTTTTTATATCCAAAGTAGGGACTACAAAAGAAAGTTTCTAATTCTTTACGGTATTCCAGTATTAGAAACATTTTACACTGCATTTAAAAACAGCATGTGTATTGCTTGCCTAAGCATCAGACCTACAAAGAGAAGTGGAATAATGAAGAATGTTTCTTATCCTATCAACAAATAAAGAAAATTTTGAGGACATGTTTACTTTAAAGGGGCACATCTCCGATGCAGTCATTTGTATCACCTTAGGAAAAGGTCAATAATAATGTTCCATGTAGTGGCCAAGGTAAGGGGGAAAATGTCAAAAATGAAATTTCACCAGTACCAAATTACACAACTTGGGAACCTGATATATGTACAAAGCTTTGTAAAGATCAGTTGGATGAGTTTGGAAATGAATCCCAGTAAATCTTGCAAACAGTGAATTTTGTTTTTCTTACCATATGATACCGTAACAAAAGAAATATAGCAAAAACAAATTTTCAACAATAACCAAACGCACAACGATGGCACTAGTATGATATGTGTTTTATAAAGATAGGCTGAACACTTTTCAGGATGCAGCCGCAACTCACAGCCAGCCGCAAGAACAGAAGCAAGTCCAATTTGATATTCCCGTAAACGTAATTGTGCATCCACTTCATTGCTGAGCACCCAGCAACAAACATCGAGACCATTCTGATAAATTTGGTATTTCTGAGTCTTTGGATAAGCACTTAACTTTCCTTATAATGGCAAACACTTAAAGGCCAAACCAATGGCAGTGGTAATGTTAGGAAAGAAAAAGGAAGAAATTATTGTTTAGAAGACGACAATGGTATCAATTGAAATGGAAGACTTTGTTATGCTGAGGAAGACCTCACGCAATCGCTACAACTTGTTAAAACCTTCCCAATGTTAAGAGTTGCCATCAGAATCTTAATTCAAATTGAAGTGGATATGACCATAGCAAAATATGAACAAATGAAAGATTTACACAGAAAAGCTTATGAAAGATGCAGGAAGGGTCCATACATGTCTTAATGTACACATTGTGACAAAGGTTGTGGTTATGATTTCTAACATTAAACATAGATACAGTAGCGCCATACTATGAAAAACCTTCAATATAATACCTGTTTTGTCCTTCTATGACTTGTTAGTGATGCTTAATTGTAGGAAGCAACAGAGGAAAATCGAAAGAAATAAGTCTGGATGAGAAGGTGGATTTGCATAATTGAAATGCTTGAAATTTGTTTGGATTTAGAGTCAATTTTAACTCAAGTGACTATTCTACCACAAGACGTTGGAAGCTGGCTTCAGTGGAATCATGTGTAATTGATTCCATATTCTTTGTAGTGAAAATGTGTTTTTTTTTTCACTTACGGAATACCAAATTCTAAGGTCTTAGCAATATTTTCAACAAACACACAAATAACTGCTGCCGTTCAGTATGATTTTTGGAATTAGATACAGAGTTAAATAATAAAATAAACTGGATCATACAGCTGTTTCTTCCTTCCAGGGCTCATTAGTGGTGCTAAGGACTTGCACTTTTGAAACCAAAGGAAGCGACTTTGGACAATCAAAATTTGTCAAATGAAAAGTCAAAATCTAGATGGGAAGGTAGACTAACCCCACCATTAAAAAAACTTTGTAATTTTCATATATCTCGTCATTTCAAAAGAACATTAAATGCATTTGAATATTCTGAACCACCATTTGCTTGCATGTGACATGCAACTAAATATAAGATAATGTAAATGGACCTCTGGTGATTCTCCTTATCAAGATCCTGGAACCAGTGGATCAAGTTTCTGATGACGAAACACAGCAATTAACCTCAAACATCTGATATATTGGCATGTGATCATGTTTCTTGAAGACCACCAATAAATATTGGCCCCCTGGTGGATTTGGTGAAGCTTTCCATCTTGAAGACCACCAATAAATACTGGCCCCTGGTGGATTTGGTGAAGCTTTCTGTCTTGAAGACCACCATTAAATACTGGCCCCCTGGTGGATTTGGTGAAGCTTTCCATCGTGAAGACCACCATTAAATACTGGCCCCCTGGTGGATTTGGTGAAGCTTTCCATCGTGAAGACCACCATTAAATACTGGCCCCCTGGTGGATTTGGTGAAGCTTTTTAAGCTTTCTGTCTTGAAGACCACCAATAAATACTGGCCCCCTGGTGGATTTGGTGAAGCTTTCCATCTTGAAGACCACCAATAAATACTGGCCCCTGGTGGATTTGGTGAAGCTTTCCATCTTGAAGACCACCAATAAATACTGGCCCCTGGTGGATTTGGTGAAGCTTTCCATCGTGAAGACCACCAACAATGAGAAGGTGTTGACCTTATTTAAAGTTAAAGTTTTGATTAAGTCTTGTCTATAACTATCTTTGGGTCAAGGACACCTTACAGTGATGCTGTCTGCACCCTTCACTATGGAAAACAATTTTGTCTTTTACGTTGTATCAAGTTGGCAACAGTTTCCATTTGAAGTAAGCAATATCTTAACAGAGAATTGATGGCTACCGGAACTTCTTGGTGGAAGTTTCTGGTTTATTTAATTTTTTTCTGGTCTTACACAAACAAGAGGTAGCTGTGAAACATGAATATCAAATAATATTACATATATTATATATTTGTATAATTTGAATTGTTTTTTCAGGATAAATCTGCAAACATGTAACACAAGCAATATACTCCCTAAACCTGCATGTGAATACCTTGTTAACAAACCAAATGTTGTCAGTGGAGGATAACATCAACGACTTATAAAACAGTTTATGGGGGCTCAGAATAACTGGATATTTAGACAATAATGATAGAAATTACAACTACTTCTATAAAAGGGTTTGACACACATCAGTTATTAAAAACCTAATTCCTTTGTCCTATCATTTGAAATTGAATATATGAAGATACTCTGTACAATAAGCTGATTAACATTTCCTTACTTCCTGAGTCAGTACTGAAGGACAAAAGGATTAGGATTTTTAATATTCACCTGTGTTTTCCTTATCGCATTCCATCAAACGTATCACCAACAGGTGACACACCTGATGGTAATACAAACCCATCAGACATTGAAACTTATGTCAGATTTAATGAACAACAAAACAAAGATGATTAACATGGAGAAAGAAGTTTGATGTTTATACTCCACTGACACTTTGGTAAGTTAACAAGAGAAGCTCCATTTTCAGGAATTTTTTCATATTTGAGAAAAACATTTCTACATTTTATAAATCTTAAATCACACAAAAGTTTACTTTTCATAGATATTCTACAAGAAATTTCATTTAAAGTTTAAGTTGATAATTTCTGAAATGAAAATGGAGCTTGCTTGATTTCTATTCTAGGTGATACCCAAGGTGCACTGTATGTGTATCAGCTACAGAATTCCTATAACAAACCTGTGGAGGCTAAGTCGTCTAACAACTCAATGTTACTGAGATAGCGAGAAATCTGTGGTAAATTTAACATAGAAAAAACTTCATTTGATAACATCTAGATTAAAGGAAAGGGGATATGTCATTAGAAAATCATTGTTTTAAAGAACAGACAATGTCTGGTAAATGATATTTTTTTTGGTTTTACCTGGATGAAGTGAATAAAAGATATCAGTAAGAAACTTTTGGACATTTCTGTTAAGATTTAAAAAAAAAAGCAAAAAAAACAAAAAAAAAAAACAAAACACACAAATTTAAGGCATTCATCTTTTTTTTTTTCAATTATGTAAAGAATTTAAAGCTTAACAAGGAAAGTAAAGAACAAACTTATTGCTCAACAAGGGAAGTGGAGAATTTATAACTTAATATGAAAAGTAAAGAATTTACAGCTTAACAAGGGAAGTAAAGAATTTATAGCTTTACAAGAAAAGGCTGGCATGAACTTTGTTTTCAATAAATCTGTACATGAACAGAATTAAGATTCTCATTATGAAGAAATCTGAACAAAAACATCATAAAGTTAACGAATTACCATTAACTTTAACCAAGCTATTGATAAAGTGAGCAGCACTTTTTAATTTACTTACCGAAGTGTACTGTTGCATCTTTTTCTTGGTGAGGTCGTAGTATTTACAGTATTTTTCGTGTTGTTTTCTGACATCTGAGGATTGTGATGAAGATTTTTGGGCGGGTGGAGGAGGTAGAGGGCGCTCCCACTGGTAGTCGTGACTATGGGTTGTCGTTCGTGAGTGTAGACGAGGCAACTTGAATTGGGATTCTCTCTTTGCTTCTTTTTTCCTATTGATATTCAAACAATAAATTAATGTCCACATCTCCAGTAAAATTATCCATCATTAGGGATTATGATGATTTTTATCATTTTTCCTTGAATTAAGTTTTGTTTAATGTCTTTATATTATCAGATATTTTTTTTCTCACTTATTTTTCATTTTCATTATTGAAATATGAAAATTGTCTCCTCTATTCATCTCTTCAGCTGAACAATTATGTTTTTTTATGCAGCAAGAATAAAGGTTCATCATGATATACCTTTGCACTACATGAGCACGGCACTATTTAGAATAAAATTTGTTAATGGAAAACTTTTCTTGCTTAGTTATAGAAATTCTAGGTTATATCTAGGTCATTAGGTAAAATGAAAAATCGTATATAAAAAAATGAAAACTTTCAAAAATAAATTATCAGAGTAACTCATTGCTAAAATTCATACATTGTTTAATTTATTCTCAATTATCAGTGTATATATCTTATTTCTTACTTTCTTCTTGACCGTCTCAAACTCTCCAGGTTTGGGAGAGACCCTGCTGATGCATAAGATCTCTCCGTTAGGGTGTCATATGACTTGGTGGCCTGTGATTGGCTGCGTTCTGATTGTCCAGACGCCTTTTGACGATATTGTATGTATTCTTCAAAAGATGTGGCTACAGGCACTCCTGTTGTCCATTGCATTTGAAGGATTCCAAAATTTGATTTGCCAGTATCCCTAAAAAGAATTAATAAAAATACGGAAAGATGTATAAAAAACAACTAACCAATTAAAATTCTGCTAAGAAAGCTTAATGTTAGTTTCCCAGAGATCAGAAAATACTCTTGAGACAGGGGACCTGTGTACAAGAATAAATTGTTGAAAGGGCAATAACTCTTCAAAAAGATGTTGAATCAGCATGCTTGTTGGATAAACAAAATTACAAGTTAGGTTCTCAAAGTCTATCAAATGAAATGATGACTTGTCCTAAAAGTAAAGAAAGAGATCTGCAGAGAACTTTTTTTTAAAGATGAATAACCAAAAATGAAAATATACAATGATAAATCTTGTCCAATTTTTCAACTATAAGAAATTAATGGTTGAATAGCAAGCTTTTAATTGTGTATGGCTTGATTATTTTAATACACATTTCCATGGAAAAGTTTTGTGAAAATGTTTGAAGTTCCCTGGCTACACATTATCAGTAAGTTTTATAAATACCAGTAAGTTATGGAAGACAACTTTTGAGAGGAGTGTTTGATATCATCAAATTTTTCCAGAGCATAATATCGTCAAATCTAAACAAAACATATTCAATACAAGCTTCCAGTATTTCAGAAAGATTTCTTATCAAGGCCTTACTTACTCGTTTTTAGTCTGCACCATTAGTTTACCGGGAATAGACTCCACCTGGTGGCGACCATCATAACCAATTGTAGGACCCTAAAAAATAAACAGTCATCATATATATCATACAGTTATATAAGTGCTGTCCAGCATAGCAATGCCTCAGCACCCAATTATTGTATCTCAGTATTTGTATTCTTTATTAATCCTGAAAATTTCGAAGGGATCACAAATTTTGTGAAGTGTCTATATTGACGTAAAAATTACAAGAATGTTGCACTTATCTTACCTTGCTTATAATTACAAGAATCGTGAAACATGTTATGACAAGTTACCACTGGGGAATTGGTCAGGTACAATCTCATTGTTGGTAAATTGATAAACACTGGCATTGATACTTGTGGTATACAGTGTCCAGGAAAAATAAACCAAAAAGTAATCATTAATGCAAACAAAATTCAATGACCTTGAATATTAAATCATATTTTGATGTTTTTATTATATAGTGGATTTAGAATAACCATGAATGCAAGGAAAATATAAACCCATGAAAATGAATGATTTTAAAGTATACACTAACAAGGTAGAATTGCCTAGCTGTACTTACCTTGTCTCCCACCCTAACAGTGTGGAGCAATCGGAGTCCAGCCTCGCCTGGCAGTAGAGGTAAGTCAGAAGCAATATACTGGATGACAGCAGGACCATTGTTTTGTTTAACCTTTCCTGTGTCAAAATCTCGTTTCACCATCTCCATCCGGCGTCGTTCCTGGGCTGTGGGTGTCTTGAAAAACCGTTGCCAATTTTCTACAAATGTTTGATTAAATAAAGTTAGAGTATGTGCTGGAGGGATAAGACAAATAAGTTCCTAGTTTCCTGACACAGGTTTATTTCCTGAGGTGAAGCCAACAGCAAATGTGTTTGAGCTTTCAAATTGAAACACTGAGCTATAAGACGAGGCAAAAGTAGGGATACCAGTTACTTTTATATAGCATAGATAAAGTAGAAGTATAATATCATGTTAATGATTCACAAAGAAATGATTCAGAACAGCAAATTTCAACACTTTTAAAAAATTAAATTAAAAAAATGATATAAAAAAGTCCAAAAACAAAACAAACAAAAACAAAACTGAAAAAAAAAAAAAAAAAAAAAACAGAAACAAAAAAAATATTTCTGTCGTGAAAAAGAATGCTTTATGAACTTTGGTCATTTGGTGTATGATAATCTATGTTGTATGATATACATGAAAGCATTGATCATGTTACTGTGAGGATTACTTGCAAAATCATTTAAAACATTTAAAACCATTCCTCAAAAAAAATCAACCATAGCACAAAAGATCTTGTATCACTTCAAACTGTTAGAAGCATGTACACAAAACAAATCTTAGTAAACCTCGAGTTTTTTACAAAACTAGAAATCTCAAAGATTTATCTCCCCTTAATATGTACTAATTACATTTACCTCCCCTATAACTTGGGAGAACTTCCTCAAACTCATTTGGAATATCATATTTGAATTTCATGTTTCCTTTAATCCAAATTGTAATTAGAGTTAATTAATTATGAAATCTTTGGGTTTTCCTCTCTGGTCAATTTGTTGTGAAAAAATCTGAATCAATTACAAGTTTTCCTAATTACGGCCAATTCTACAATATTTTTCTTGTCAACCTGAAATTTTTTTTCCATTCATTATTTTTATATAAATATTACACATTAAGGCGTAAAATAAACATAAACTGTAAAACATCTGTAAGACAAAAATTACTGTATATTTAGATACCATTTGTTTGAAAATATTATCAAAAAGAAGAAAAATAAGGTAACCACAAACTTAACTTTGGCAACCTAAAACAGGAATTCACCCTAGACATTGTATAATTGACGTTCGTATATCATATTTTTAATAAAAATCACAAAAATAAAGTCGATGGAACTGAATCTGTAAATTATTTTCTGTTACAGTAATAGTAATCTTGATCACAGAACCATTAATATCTCTATACATGAGTTTAGAAAAAGAATTAACAAATTCCTGAAATAACTGAAATTTCTTCAGTAAAAGTTCTGGAAGGACTAAAGAGTTAAGACAACAGGACACACACATAAGTAACAAATATCTCACTTCCACACCTATACCACTGAAACAGTGGAGGTATATCTGTTATTATAGCAAAGATTTTCAATCCAACAACAAAATATTTTCTTATTAAAAACTAGAGCTAACACACAATACTGTAGGGTTACAAAATTATATATAAATCAAACAATAATTTCACTATGTAAATTGACTTACTACGACGACCCCTTTTTCGTTCAGGCTGACCAATTTCTAATACTAGACGAAAAAGATATTGTTGTGAAAATTTATAACAAAATAGAATGCTGCTTTTGAGATTCAATACATCTCCTTTGTATTCTATATCTAAACTTTTTTGTTGATGTAGGTCAAAGGTCAAAATATAGATCAGAATAATCACTTTTTGATATATACCTCACTGCCTCACTATGGTGAACCTATACCAAAACTATTAAGTCCTAGTAACAATGAGTGCAGGAAATCAAGCCTGGACAAGATAGCAAAAGGACAGACAGACAGACAGACACAACACAAAATGATAGTTCCCATCTCGGTGAGGGGCTAATAAATTTCATTGTATTTCTTTTATAAGGTACAGTGCTTTTTTTTCAAGGGCAAAATTACACACACAATAAAGAAAATCTTAAATAATGTCTTGACCTTGATCATCCTTTGACCTCTCCATCACTTTTAGAAAATCTAATCCCCAATCCTGTTTTAACTTTGAGAAAATCTTATCATCATTCGGACCCTCTGTAAATTTGAGAGAATCTGATCACAGTCCAACTCCTTTATAACTTTGAGAGAAAATGTCATGCTCTGACCCTTTAATCCAATCACTCTCTGGAACTCTCAGCAGCTTTTAGTGAATGTGATCACCCTGCCACACCTTTATAACTTTGGGATAATCCGATCACCCTTCAACCTCTTTGTAACTCTGAGAGAATGGGATCACCTTTCCACCCTTTGATCTGATCACCCTCCAATCCCAAAACTTTGGATTAGTCTGATCAAGCTCTGACCCCATTTTAATGTTGAGAGAATGTGATCACCCTTTGAACCTTTTATGTGGTCACCTGTTGACTCCAAAATTTTGAGAGAATGCAATCATGTGTGTTGTGACCTCTTTGCAATTTAGAGAGAATCAGATCATCCTTTAGCCTCTCAGTAACTCTGAGAGAATCTCTCTGACCCTTATCACTTTGATTAAATGTTATCTACCTTTGACCCTTATAACTTTGATTAAATGTGATCTACCTTTGACCCCTTTGTAACTTTGACAGAATATGTTCACCCTTCTGTCCCTTGCGAAACCTTTAAAGAATCTGATTCCTAAAGCTATACCTTTGTCAGCCTCCAGCCCCTTTGGAGTGGACAGATCTGAGTGACAGATGGAACCAGCAGACTTGACAGGAGATAAGGAATGTTTTGGCCAGCTCTGTTTTGATCGATGATGACCTACAGGAAGAAAAAAAAACGGATTAATAAAAACTCTCATCCTGTTGGAGGGAAGATAAATGGATCTCAACCCGTGGGGACTAAGTTAGCAAACATGAGGCTTTCAAAGTATTTGCAACTGAAGAATCTAATACCTAAGTTTGAGATCTTTTCACAAGTTTGACATCACCATATCTCACCAACAAGGAGGTGAACATATTTCGTTTACCCTACTGGCTTTATTAGATACTCATACATATTTTTGTTACCCAAAGCTTCGCAGCATTGAAGTGATTCAATGGTTGATATGACGTCAATGAATTGCTACCGTTAAGTCATATTATTGTCCTGTGAGGGGAATCCCCATTTCAACACTAGGGTGAGATGAGGAAATCTCACACTAGAAAAAAGCATGGATTTACCTGTCCAATTAATAGGTGACTATAATACATTACGTTGATGTTATGTTGTGATTTACAAACATTTATTATTTCACTGACACATGATTTTGTAGATAGATAAAACCCAACACATCTGTTTATACAAATTTAAACAGATTGAGGACATCAGTATTAAGACTGCCCATGAAATCAACAAAACATCCCCCCCAGCTAAAATAAATGATTTTAAAGTATTTGTCTAAACCAATGCTGACTCATTGATATTACCTTTCTTGATCACAGCTGTTTCCATCCCCGATTTATTACTCAGGACCTCAGACATGTCCCGCCCTATTCCAGAATCCTGTGTGCTCATTGTCTCTAATGTAGTATCTGCTGCCTTTTCTCCAACCTGACAAAAATAAAAAAATTCAATCACAAAAACATATCTATGGCAGCTGATAACATTTAATTATTACAATAAAAATCGCTTTGAAATATTCTGATTTGATAATACATTGTGATATATTGTTTTCCAGGTTTTAAAAAGTAAGTAAAAGTTGTCTCCCCTTATACTCACCTCTGATATGCTGACAGGCACTTCAGCCCCATCATCATGGTGACCGCTGTCGGTTGCCTGTATTCCACCCTCCATATCTCCATGCTTGGGGAACTGATGTAATCGTTTACTGGGCACACCTCCAAACTCATCTCCAACCACTAAAAAGATTTTATTACAAACACAGTGAGCCACTACATTAACCCTTTCGGCGCCGTAGGCAACTAAAGTCGACATGCAGACAGGCCGTAGTAAGCGGCTAAAGTTGACATGCAGACAGGCCGCTGTAGGCGAATAAAGTCGACATGCAGACAGACTGCTGTAGGCGACTTTAGTCAACAATTTTTATATCTTTATTATTAGCCAAGATATGCTTGTTTCAGTAATGCTGCCATTGTTTTCGTATATTTTCCGGAAAATATTTGGTGCTGAGCTGTACATTGTAAGAGATATTTGGCACTGAGCTGTACATTGTAAGAGATATTTGGCGCTGAGCTGTACATTGTAAGAGATATTTGGCACCGAAAGGTTAAAGTCAGCCGACTTTCATTGATGATCACAGAAATAATATGAACTTTTTAAAATTTAAAACAAATGTGGCACAAAATATTCCAATTAATCACTCTTGTTGGGCCAGATTGAGGTGAACATTGAGAGTTACTGTGGAAGAAAAGCAGGGTACCACAAAAAATCCACATGGTCAGGCAGGTGACCCCCGCCCCCTTCCCCCCATACCTTTTCACATACATTCGGGATATCAAACCAAGGTCTTAATAATTGTATCAGACATACTGCTTTATCCCTAACACCAATCACTGATGTTTAATAAATCCAGGTAAACAAAAGTAATAAGTACTGACAAGTAAATGGATGCAAAAATAAACATATGTATAGAATGAAACAGTGAAGGTATCCTGGTTTTTCTTCAAATGCTTCTTTATTTCATAGTAAGGATTTGAAATTTGTTTCAACTCTGATGAAAGAAACAAAGAAGAAATGTAAGGTAGATTCTGAAGAACTCAGCTGAATCTGTCTGTGCACGTCGGCTCGATAAAAGCTTTTCGAGGAAGGGAGATCACTCTATGTCACTACTGTGATGGCTCATGGGACCATAGGGAGAGCGGGATATTTTAATCTTTTCTTTTTGGGATACAATGTTGGGTGTAGGTACCATATATGCATACTAAAGTTATGGTAAGTATTAATGAAATGAAACATGCTTTTGAATATTTAGAATAAGGTAAGTAGCAAATTGTAGTGTAATCTTTCTCCTATCAACTTACACTTTCTGCCACTGCCTGGTCTCATATTGGCAGGGTACCGCTTTTTGTAATAACGATACATAGCTGGATCCTTTGGATTAAATCTGGAAAAATTTAATATTTCAAATATTTTTTATTAAAAAGAAGTGAAATAACATCATATGTTACACACCATTGCAATATAAAACATCAGAGATAATTTCCTCACATTATTATAACAAATGATTATAGGAATATATCACTGCATCAGATCACTTCACCAAGCATTTCCTTTGAAAGAGATCACATCAACTAGAAATCACTTCAGTTAGAGATCACTTCAACAAGAGATCATTTCAACTAGTGATCACTTCAACTAAAGATCACATTAACAAGAGATTACTTCAACTAGAAACCACTTCAGTTTGAGATCATATTAAGAGGAGATTACTTCAACTAAAGATTACTTCAACAAGAGATCACTTCAACTACAAATCACTTCAACTAGAGGTCACACCTACAAGAAATCACATTGTAAATATGTCTATTTATCATTAACGACTCAACATAACATCATTCCTTACTTAATAAATAAACAATGTTTACATCGCAGATTTACACTTCAATAATTACATATAACAAACATGAGTGAAATTTTTGTTTTGAATTACACTCAAGGTTTCTTGTTAATGTGAACAATTTAAAACACAAAATGAATATTACATTCTTTTAAATACAAAATGAAGATAAAGCAATCAAGAATTAGTTCTAAACAGACAAGTTAGAAGCTTAACTGACAGTGATAAGAAAAGGGACAAAAACTAAGTCGGTACATCAAGGTATAGTCAAACCTGTATTAAGAGACCACCTTTGGGAAGTTATAACAGTGGTCTCTTAAAGGGGGTGGTCACTAGAGGGTTAAGGGCCAAAAAGTCTGATGAAGGATAAAGGCAACATAAATATAAATCATTGTCATTAAATCACAGGTCTAGTTTTCAATATATACTGCAATATATTTACCTTTAACAAAAACAAAGTTATTCTAAAATATCTTCTCCTGCTTAACTGGTGGTCAAAGGGTGCCTTTCTGAATTGTAACTCTGCCCATCTACCCCCTAAATAAATCTCACAGTAAGTATTTTTTTCTATTTCACTCTGTCCATCTACTTCCATTCAAGTCATCTGTTCATATATTCAATTTTCTCTATCCACCTACTTGGTGAGTGGAGGTGGGGAGCATTTTCAAAACACACTGACAAATCAACATTTAAATCACTTTTTAAATCCTCTGAAACAACTCTCTATATTATATATCTATATACTGGTCTCCAGCTTCAAAACTTCTCCAAACCAAATTCAGTTTATATCTGTTTCCCTTATCTATAAAACTATGGAGTATGGTGAGACTTTTAACAATTTCTCTACTTTAAACCAGGCCCAATTTATCCACACAAGGCCATGCCATTTTATATAAAGTATGAACCCTGGTGTATTATTACAAATCATCATTCAGTAACCCGCTGATAGTGAAATTTTATGCCAAGAATGCATTGCAAGTGGACCCATGACCCAATTTAAGAAAGAGGTTCCAGTGACTTGTAGCGCATAGGAGATAGAAACTGGACAATTTTTTTTTATGTAGGTCAAAGGTCAAACCGAAGGTCAGGGTGACCTACTTTTGATACACAACACATTGTGTCACCAAGGTGAATGGATAACCCAAACACGAAGTTCAGCTGTCAAGCAGTGTAGGTATTAGAGATATAAGACACTGGAAAGACAGGCAGAAGGATGGCACAATGCAAAATTAAACCCCCCCACCACCCTCTCCACATTCCTGACCCTAATGCAATTAATGTTGACCACTCCACAAAAATAGTTGCTGATGAGGACAGATAATGTGCACCTCAATGCAAATATGGCAAAAATTGGTCAGATAAAAATTAGTTGGAGACAGAATAATAAAAGCTTGATTACAAAATTAATTGGTTATTTATGATAGCACTGTTTTCACGGGGTTATAATGAATGTTATTGTACAGATAAGCTGATCTAAGCTAAGGCATGTAGAATATCAGAGGCTAAAGGTGTAGCGTTTCCTGTTAGAAACCAGACAATATATCTAAACTAGGTATAACAGATGTCCTTGCGTTCAGACTGCAGAGCATTAAGTCAGAGATAGAATGTTACTTTTTACAGGTTATTTTTAGACAACATCAACAAACTAAGTATACAAAGTTTACCCATCATACTCTTCATCCTCCTCATCTGACCTTTAAGACATGAATGAAAATATTTCAACAATGCTAATTGAAAGAAAATGATATTAAATTGATAGCATATGGGAAAAAAACTTAATTGGTAAATTGCATTCCTTCAGAAGTTCAGCCTCTGTGAATTTTGAGACATTATGATATGCAACTGATAATTCTAAATATGTTGCTTGCAGTTCTAACATCTCCAGGTTGAATAAACATTACTGAAAGTTTTTGAACAGCTCTGTCAGAAATTAACAAACCCATACAAAAAATATTAATTCTGGTCAAACCAGTCTGTAAAGGACACCTGTAAATAATAAATACCTCTCAATTGTTTATAAGCAATACCTGTCTTTAAATAACACTCATAAATAATTAATACCTGTATACAATGGCCACCTGTATATCATAAATACCTGTCTATAAAGGTCAGTCATCTCCACAAAACAAATACCTGTGTATAAAGGCCACATATACATAACAAATGCCTGTCTATAAAGATCATCTCTATAAACAAATACCTGTCTATAAAGGCCACATATACATAATAAATACCTGTGCATAAAGGTCACTTCTACAAAACAAATACCTGTCCATAAAGGCCACCTGTATATGACAACTATCTGTCAATAAAGGACATTCATTTCAGATTCCAATACAGTACAGTTTAAAGAAAATAATGATTGAACTTCTTTGTAAAGGTCACCTCCCTAAAAAGTCCCTTTTTCATTTCTCATTAGAGTGGCCTTCATAGACAAGTTTTGCTGTACCTACATGAACATTTTATTATTGTTACCATGTTGGACATTGTCTATTTCCTTACCTTGACTTATAATCAATATTTCTATCTATGTGGAGTACAATACTTGTGTAAGATGCAGGAATAAAGAGTTTTATAATGAAGGCAGCAGGTTATAATCAAACTTACATGGAATTCCGTATATCTGATTTCTGTGACCTTGGTGAAGGAGGGACATCATCTTGTGCCTCTCTGAAAAATATGTTATGTTGATATTTAAATATATAATTATATATAAAATATGTAATAGATTATAAATCACCGTAACAGGTGCTACTTGCTCAAATCATAAACATAAATATATACACTAATTAAAATGTGAACTTCACTGCAAAGTAAATAAAGACCTCTGTTACATTGATATCTATGTAGGCAATCAGGAATAATACTTAATGAGGGTTTCTTTCACAAGCACGGGGGTAACCTTGGAAACTCGAGGACAAGTATCTCCTGGAGGGGGAGTATGTAACCTTGGTAAAATACTAGCTGCAATACCTTACTCAGCTACACAGACATCTCCTTGCATGTAGCTCAATTGGTTGAGCATAAGATTACTAACCCAGAGGTTCTGGACTTATGTCTCCGAGGCAGCATTAAAAGGAAATAATGACGTCTGTTACGTTGGTCCCCATGTACAGATTTGGAAAGAATATTTCGCAGTTCTTTAACAAAGCCTTGAAACTCGAGGACAAGTTGAGTGAGAGTATGCAACTATGATAGATACGGGTATACCTTTAAGCTTGATATGTTGATAGTAAGACTAGTATTCCAGAGGTCCCTGTGGAGAAACTGTCGCTCTTATAAAAAAAAGACCCACCTGAAGTTATTATAAATACAGTTGAGAAGTATAAGTCTGGATTGCCAGTCCTCATTACTGTTATCTTTCTGCGGAAAGTTCTCACGTAACATCCACTGCCTCACTAACTTTTTTTTCTCATTAGTTGCCCTGTCCATTCCTTTCTTACTTGTATATAGAGATTCCACATTGTACACAGTCTGTCGTGGATCATCGTCCAAGTACATATACATTGTCGTCTATCTCAAGTTTTTAATGAGATAATAATATTCCTCTGTCTGTGCTATAACCAACTCCAGGCAGAAATCAATAATCCAAGCTAATCAAGAGCAATGAACGACAGGAGACTTCGATCAAAGTCACTTTCTCTTTATGTTTTTCAAAAAATCACAATTTTTTCTGGTTATAATCTCAGAAACACTAATTCTGTGTATTCTCATCAAAATCAACCTTGAGGAAAGTAATTTGATCCCTGAACAAATTTAAACCACCATCCAGATGAAAAAAAATGCACTTCAAATGAAAATTCAAGACAGCAGACTGCAGTAAACTTATATATAACGTACCGATCACTTCGTCTCTACGTTTAAAATGTTTCCTTTTTCTGATGCAGAGACCTAACAACGGTGCATTATGCAATAGCTCCTTTCCAAGCGAACCTTAGCGACAACACAATTCAATGAAAAGTCTGTATAAATGTTTAATGAACAGTTTTCCTGTCTGAAAAGTCTCAATAGTAAGTGTTCTCAATGATAAAGTATTTCCCTCCCTGGAGATTCTTCATAAACCACGACGATACCACATTTTGTTTTATCCTTTGTAAATAGCACAGAAGCCAAAATACATCCCACGATTTACCATAAATGTTAAATTCTAATTTGACAGCCAGACTAACAATTTAAGAAAAGTGTCATCTTTGTGATTGAAAAATGAGTGAAAGTGTAAACACAAGGCATTGTTACGTACTATATACCTGGCTATTGTTCACGGACTGATGAATACAGGTGTGTGTATACACCTGGCCGTAAATACATCCAGTAGACTCACATAGCAACCAATAAGATCAGCAGCTTTTATCATACAGATTTCATGCCTATTCAAAACTTAGACAACATAAGCCCAACACACTGAAAATATATCCTCTGCTGTCTATGTTAGGCAGCCGGGGTCCGTTTCAGCGGACAAGAATATGTCTAATGGGCTGGGGTCTCGTGGTGGTACTCTCAGGTATGACAATTTTTATTTGATTTAATACTCCTACTCTTCCCCTGGAATACTAATTAGGTACCCAAAGATTTTCTTTTTTTTTAATTTTTGTTTTTTTTTACAATAAAATAATATAAGAGAAATAAATTTCTTCAAGGCTTTTTTCAATATTAGTTTAGGTTAGTTTAAAGCTGAAAGCACAAATGCTCCAATTTTTTGTGTCCATGGTATTATCTAAATCACTGAAATATGGTGAGTTGATATACAATGACAATTTTACAGGTTTTTTTGGTTATAAAGAAACATTGATAGACTAGAAAATAAAATCTAAAATATGATTACAACAGCTGGATCCCTTTGGTTCCTCCTCTAGAGCCTCACTTTTACCTGTACGTGGCTCATTAACTTTTGATACACAACTTCCACTTATTACCTGTATCCTTTTTACCTACAAGTTTAATGATTAATTGGAGGTAAGCACAAAGTCATCGGCGATATTGATTACATTGATTGATTTGTGACAGAGACTTACAAGACTGTACTACTCTGATTAAAACTCCAAGGTATATAATAACCTGAACATTGAACAAAGGCTTAAGTGTTGTCGAAACATCATGTATGCAAATTAATGATCCAGATCAATCAGCTGACTTCATCAGCACTAGTAAACAATATCGCTTTCGAAGGTCACCAGAAGTTCAACTTGTGTATCCACTCGTTCATGTAACTTTCTTGTCCTTATTTTTCAGAGGGGAAAAGATAAATTAGAATATGCTCGTTCGTAAGTTTTTTCAAATACTTCTGATATTCTTAAATAATGGTGATATTCAAATTGATTTCAAATTAATTTCATAATAATCAAAACAAATATCAATTATTTAAAATATTCAAGTTAAATATATATGACAAAAGATGAGTTAATTGAACAAATATCAAAATTATTCAATTGTCTTTCGATGATGCAGCACATTCACATTATAGATGACCATGAATAATGACCAGAACTTCAAATACAAAAAATAGCAATAATTACTGATGAGTTTACAGTATCCTGAAGTACTAAACAGTATTGGATTTCTTCAGAAGATATGCTGTCCAAAGACATATCATATCAAAGCCCATACTCTGGGGTCCTTATCAACAGATGTTTCATAAGTTACAACATTTCAATAAAATGATCGAGTAATCATAATTTTGTCTTTGAACAAGGAGGGCAAATTTAAGATACAACAAAAATTTATTGCAGTGATATAATCCCTTTATATACGATGTAGTCCTCAGAAGGTGAAATGAATGCAAGTCAATTTCATGTATAATGGAACAAGAGCGAAAAGGACCAGGGGTGAAAACATCAAGTATGTATCAATAAGCTTAAAAGAAAAATGATTTCTAACAATAATGTTAAACTTACCCATGGAGTTTAGGATAAATCACCAGGGACATGGTCATGTGTCAGTTGACATGACTACACAGCGCCTCAGTGGTAATCATTCAATATCATCATTACATTGTGTATACTTTTATCTCTGTGTGTTTTAGGCTAGCATCAACAGAGACATATGGAATTGTATCATCAAACAATTTGTATTGACAAAAGACTTACTGGGAAGGACAAGACAGTCTGAATCATAGCTATAATGTTTATAGATCTTTGTTCCAGCCTCTGGCAGCAATTTATGTGATGAAATGTCAGTTCAAGTGCTAAGCTGACCTTGACTAGACTGTAAGGTATTCTCTACTTTCATGTATGTTACACAGGAAGAAAGTTGTATTTGGTTAAGTTGTTTACACTGGTCACAAATCATAAAGAATGATAGAAGAAGCTGACCTTGAGTCTAAGTCCTAATTACACCTAATTACCTTAACAAGGAATCTATCTGCCTGCTTATACCTCTGTTCCAAATAACAGTGTTTGATATTTGATCTTATCTAGGAACTGTATTATTGTAATATTATTTTGTAAAAACGGACTGTGAACTCACTCCTATTGTACATATGTAAAATGTCTATAATTAGACCTTCAATGACTATCAAGGAACCTTTCCACAACATAGTCTGATTGGCGTTGTTATGAAATCCAGTCTATCTCTAACACATAGACCATTTACCCTTGTAAAAAAACATCCAGTCCCTCTCTACAGAGACTGCTTAACTTTGTCATGGACGTCACACTTTACAACATGTTTTTCCTTGTCAAGGAACTCAGCCCCTCTCTATATCACATATTGTTTGACCTTGTCAATAGGTTCAGTCCCTCTCTATAACACATATTGTTTGACCTTGTCAATAGGTTCGGTTCCTCTCTAAAACACATATTGTTTGACCTTGTCAATAGGTTCAGTCCCTCTCTATAACACATATTGTTTGACCTTGTCAATAGGTTCAGTCCCTCTCTGTTTAGATTAATGAGTCCAAGTAAACATATATCTGTCTGATGAGTTCTTACCTGTTAACATCAAACATGCCACTCCTCTGTCTGCGACCTTGGTCTGGAGTAGAGGGCTCCCATTGGTCTATAGAATGAAACATAAAACTGTTTGATTATAGGAACTAATCAATGAACATGTTCAAAGTTATTGTGTTTCCTTGCATGAATTTTAATCAAATTTAATTAAAATCTACTTAAAATATTAATGTCAATGTATAATTTAGAGCATCAGTGTGAACTTCAACATTTAACAGTAACATTGCTTGCCCAAAATTTATCTAATAATATTCTTGAAATAAATTAATGTCAAAGAGCAATTTTTATTTTTTATTCCAAAGTTGAATCATACCTGCAACATTATGTTTCACAATAGAGAGCCATATGTTCAAAATTTCAAAATGCAGAAGAGTGTATTTAAAGAAAACTTGTTGTAAATTTAATACAGCAAGACAGCATGTAAGGAGAATAATTTGAGTATCCCTTGATTGGATTGGAATGTGTGTCGTTGACCATTGGTTCTGCAGACTTTCAGGTTAATGCTGCATTGTAACTGGTGTATAACACTTGAAACGGGAAGCAGAGGTAGTTATTTTAGCGCACTCAACTGTGTCAATCAGGAGTTCAGTAAACACTCAATCAGATGCACAACTTGTAATGTCAATTCCATGACATTCATGCAATATTAGTAGATCCATCATCCCCGAAGGATGCATCAGACTAAACTTAAACAAAATTCCTAAACATATGGTCAATCTTTTAAGAGAAGATGATTAATAATCTGAAATACAATACAGAAGATACAAAATAAAACATCAATTGCTTTCCATAATTAGATTTTCAAAAATGAAGCAAAATCCAATATTTTTCTCAATTTTCCTGAAAATCATGCAATATTTTCCCAATTTTTGAAGACACAAGCTGCTGTAAAACCAAGGAAGAAGAAAAAAAAGAAAAATATGTGAAATATGATAAACGCATATTAGAAAGTTTAAATATGATAAATGTATATTAGAAAGCTGAAATATGACAAGTGTATATTAGAAAGAAAGGTTACATCATCGCATCATCAATCAACTTCTTATGATAAACCAGTCTGGATGAGTAAATGTCACTGCCATACACGAGCAGTTACAGCATTCCAATTAGAAAGCTAATTCAGTCTCAAATTGTCAATGCAGCCTTATTAATTCCAGTCAACCAGAGTGAGTTCCAGCAAACATTAGTCTTTGTTTTCATTCTAATCATGCTCCACTCTTGCCTGTTCCTTCAATAATTTTCTCCATGTTGCCGTCACTCCGTCGCTTCTTGACCTGTTCCTTGAACTTTGCACTTTTCTCATATTCTGCCATATCATCATCTTGTTCATTTTCGGAAACCTCTTCCAACATTCCCATTTCTGTCCCTTGTCCATCTAAGTAGGACTGCACTAGGTTTTCAATGAATGAAGGTCGATGAAGGTCAGGGTCGTCAAGAAGTGGGAACGGATTATCGTCAAGCATTAGCACTGGACCTCTGACCCCTAACAGCTCTTGGTTTGGAGTAACAACTTCCTCGTCCATACGATCCGACAACTGACTATCTAACTCTGATGGAGTTAAGTTGTCAAATGTGATATCAGTTAACACAGAATCGCCTTTCTCCAATGGAGGTATCGCTGAAATGTTATCAACCATGGTCAACTTAATATTCTCTATGTGTCCTGGGAGAGGACTAAATTCTCTTTATTTCTATTTTTCATTTCTTAAAAAGATCTAGTAAACAATATCCTGTAAGGTCATTCCAAAAGGTTTTGAATTTCAAAATTATAACTTAAACAAAATTAATACTTTCAGACCATACTGAATGTCATGTCTGGTATTATGAACGGTTGTGATTTGCATTTAAAAGAGAACATTCCTTATTTGGACTTTCTAAGATGATTTGAGCATGAATACAAAAAAAATTGTGGACAAGTCTCTTTCTCTCATACCAAGTTATAAGCCAGAGTACTATGGCATGAACGATATACACCCTTAGTTCTCACATCAAAGATAAATACATTATTGTATCACAATAAATACAAATATTGAAATTTATTGTTCATTTTTTTATCCATATGCCACTGAGAAAGCATAATTTCCCCTCATTTTAATAAAGTCTCCAACATTTAAAAGAAATTTGTTGAAAACTGAGACAGGAGATCTTTGGACCGGATCCAGATTAGGAGAACAGTGAATATTTCAAATACAATCCAACTGTTGTTATGGACAAATGGACATCAGTTAAATGATGCAAAGGATTATGTATCTTACCAAAAAACTGTTAAAGCAAGAAATTAAAAAAAAGTACCTGGTACAAAAATAGGTGTTTGGACATACATAATACTGCATACATGTAGTCAGTTATCTTCATTTTTGTAAATTTGCGGCCATTAAAGACAGTTCAAATTAAGTACCCAGCAAGTACTTCTACGGTGAACTGAATTCTCAGAAAACATATATAGACAAGCTGTGCCATCTACTGTTAAAAGGAATGATGTGCGGAATTTAATCCCTGAAAAATAGTGGCAATCAGAACAATGACAAAATGTTGGTCCCTGTGAAATTATTGACCTTGTCAAGGCACACAGTCTCTCTCTGTAAAGTGTCCATTCAAGCAAAAGTGTGGAATTAAATGAAATTCACATGGGGTCAATCAGAGATCTTTGGTTAGAAGTGACCCTGTGTATGGTGTAATACTTACAAGATCTATCGGAAATGTTGGTGAGTTCCCTTAGGCGATTAGATGCCCTACTGGAGGACTCTGTGATACAGAGAGATTCCGGAAGGACTCTCACAGCACGACCATCCCAGTTTTTACTTATGTCTCCCGCCTTGGAAAAGTATAAAAAAATCATATCAAACAAGATATGTTTGAGATAGTGAAAGCTATGCCCCTGAGGGGAGGCCATTCGAGAAGGATAGGACCTTCAAATGGAAGGCATCCTAGCAAATGTCAGAAGTGTAAGTGAACAAACAAGTAACCATTGAAAGGGCATTAGGAATACACATGCCATATAAGGAAGCATTTTTCTGAAAGGTCATAGGTGTGAAAACTATGGGACATGTTTTACAAATTAAGGAAAGCAAAATACAATTAATACATAATAAAGTAAGAAAAAATGAAATGGGAGACTTATTGTTTTCACCATTTTTTTTTTATAATTATTCTCGTTATTAAAAGCCTTATAGCTCTGACAAGTATTGACAGATTCTGACCAATATTGAACACATTTGAAATCTCATCATTATAAAGCATTATATTTTCGGTTGAAATCTCACCTCAAAAATTTAATTTACTTGATAGAAATGAAAAAATCATCTATTGAAAAAATTTAAAGTTCGGAATCTCTAACTCTGGCATAGACTAACAGACTTGACCAATGCCAAACTCTTTTTACTATATTTGGTCCAATTCATCAGGAAAAATAAAAGTTATGTGACGGAAACAAAGACATGATATATCTTAACTTTTGAAAGTCCCATAACTCTGGTAAATGTTGACAGATTCGACTAATAATGAATCACTGGAGATCTCACTTACATGAAGCATTTTACCAAATCTGGTTCAAACATTTAAGAAAAATTAAAGTTATTTGATGGCAATGAAGAGGGTATCTATTTTGAGATATTTAGATTCCTGTACCTCTGGCAAATGTTTACAGATTTTAACCAATACTGAACTCATCTGAGATCTCATTAATATTAAGCAATATATTTTTGGTTCAAATCTTACAGTAAAATTTAAATTACAATTTTAAAATCGTTTTAACCTACCTTGAGTTCAGCATCCTCGTAGTACAGCGATGATGATTCATCCACCCAGTTTGAAATCCAGTCTGAGAAACTGTCTGTTCTGTATGGGATGTCTAACCTCATAGCCAAGGCTTTGAGAGCTTCCTCCTGTAACAAGAGAGGTCATAGGTTTTACAGAGGTCAGAATAGTCCCACATGTCATTGGGGTTACAGGGATCACAAGGGTCAGAACAGTCACATGTCATTGGGGTTACAGGGGTCGCAAGGGTCAGAACAGTCACATGTCTTAGGGGTTATAGGGGTTTCAATAATCAGAATAATTGTATATATATGTCATAAGGGTTACAGGGGTCAAAAGTCACATGTCATAATGGTTACAGGGGTCAAAAGTCACATGTCATAGGGATTAACGGGGTCATAACTGTCAGAATATTCACATTATTAAATAGGGCTTACAGGAGTCAAAACAGTCACATGTCTTAGGGATTATAGGGTCAAACCAATTGTCATTAAAATACTTTATCATTATCAAAGATCAGTTGTTTGTGTTATTATATCATTGTTTTTGTGAAGCTGTCAGTGTTTCTATGCCAGTTATTTCTATACAATGACATGACCACCATTATTGTTTAGAACATTATCAAACTCACCTCCTCCTCCTTGCTGTTGTACTGACTCTTTAGGCCCATGTCCTGCATCAACTGCAGCAGATCATCCTTGTTATTGACTCCTACCATTTCTGATAAAATGGCTGCCGTCTCATCCCTCACATCTGACTGTAACAATTAAAATTCTTCATCAAAGATGATATATCTGATAAAATGGCCGTCTCATCCCTTACATCTGACTGTAACATCTCATCTAGAGAAGAAGGTTTTTTCAAAACAAAAGTAGGAAAAGTTTTTGATCCAACAATATCTAAGTCTAGAGAAGAAGATTTTTCAAATATATGCAAATTTTCATTTTCCATTTTGACCACTGCCCTTCAGGCCTCAGGGGTAGTGTCACTCTTTTTTATATATATTTTGAAATACTATCCGATGAATATAATTCTATCCAAAACTGCATTTTATATCTCTGAAAATCAACAAAATATGACCAAAAGTGTTATTTTTTCTAAATAGACTATCATCAATTTAAACCTTTTCACAAGATATGACATTATTATAAATGGGACACAATGAGACAGACCAACATAGTTGATATATACCAGTACTCTATTGCCTCCCCCCCACATGCCCCTCCCATCAGTTCAAGCTTCATGCATTTACTTTCATTGTCAGTTACCATCTATAAGTACAAACCTGGCTGTCAATGAGCCGTGGTAACAAGGAGGCCAGGACATCAGGATGATTGCCTCCAATCTGTTTCAGGGTACGGAGGTTTTTAGAACTTACAGGTCCTTTGGAGTTTCCCAGCTGTGTGGACAACTTATTGATGATTCTTTCCAGATACATGTCTGGTATTCCCAAGTCCCTGTGGGGAAGAAGTCAGAAATATAGAAATTCTGAGATTATCTGGTCCCTTGTGGGAAGAGAAATCCAAAATATAGCAATTCTGAAATCCAAAATATAGCAATTCTGAAATTATCAGGTCCCTGTTCGGGGAAAATCCAAAATATAGAAATTCTGAAATTATCAGGTCCCTTTGGGGGGAAAATCCAAAATATAGCAATTCTGAAATTATCAGGTCCCTGTGGAAGAAAAGACTTGGAAATGAAATTGCCTGAATTATCAATTGTATTTATTATAAATTATTGTCTTCTTCTTATTCGAAAGAAGTGTCCACTAGCATCATTTCAGTGTCATGTTTTATAAAACTTTCATGTGGGGCCCAAGCTAACTATATTATTAGACAGAGGAAATGAAAGGATCTCAGGATTATTACTTGTGAAGGTCGAGGATGTAATCACAGATTTTAGAGTGAAGATCTGGGTCGTCCGTGTCGAGGAGGGTGAGAAGACGCTGCATGATACTATCAAAGGATGGCGTGCCTCTCATATCAGAGAACCAGTCCTCTTCTAATAGCTTCTGAATGCTGTCCATGTCTGATGCGCCCAGCATACTGCCTCGCTTTCCTGAAGCGTCCTGATCAAGGGGAAAACAAAAGTAAAACGATTGGAGGTTTGACTGTTTTGTTTATTTGTTTCGTTTATTGCTCCATGAACATCATGATTATTTATGAGAGTTTCCTTGTAGCAGCTTGTGGTTATCTCACTGAACAACATATGGGAGGCCCACCTCATGCCATCCAGAGAGGCAAGTGCTCATGAACACATAAACAACAGCACAGTCTGTTTCTCAGTTGTTAGAGAAATACAAACTACCAAGGTCTGAGAAATACAAACCACCATGGTCAGAGAGAATCGATCAAGCACCTGTGATCTCACTTCAGGTTACATCAGCCAACACACTACCAGCTGAACTTTTGTGACGCCATCATTTGAGGTAAAACATAATGGATCCTTGACCTTAATCAGGATTCTAATTTAAAATTATTTTAAGTGTAATAAGGATAATAAAATATCAAAAAATTTATCAATGTCTACTTATTTGTCCAACAAATTAAAGCATGAATGATTATTAAAAAAACAAAAACCAAACAAAAGAACGAAGATGGAAAAAATCTAAGTTTAAAGGATGAAAGAAATAACTAATGAAAATGAAAATATCTAAAATTCAAATATCTTAAAAAAGTAATGACTAATAGATTAAAACAGATTTTAGATCACTGTCAAATGTGTCATATCTTATATAAACCTATTTCCTTCACTGTCTGATATATATATAACGTACCCACAATCCAATAAAGAATTATTAAACCACACAGCTGTCGTTTTACCTTAAATCTGACATTAGTCGAATCCTCATCCACCACCATATTGGTCAATTTGAAAGATTTTGACCGCTCTCTACTTTGAGCTCCGCCAGACTTGGTCATTTTACGCATTCCACGCATGGAGTCTGGAGTCTCTAGATCATTACGACTGCCAAACTCTAGCTTCTTAGACTTCACTGGAGAGGGAAAATGAGTTTAAACTTTCAAAGATGCCATTTTATTGTCATGGTTTGTTTCTAGATAGGAAAACACTGGAAGATACTCTTTACACAGCTACTTTGTGTCAGATAGTACTGTTATGTAATATGTCCCTTTTTTAGAGAGTGTTATTTGTAGATGGATTTCTGAAGTAATACACTATATGGATTCTGAGTATATGAAGGGGTCAATTCCACAAACATGTACAGATATGAAGACAGAATGTTTAATTTAGTGCAGAAGATTGTTTTTACAAGAATAAAATTTGACAATCAACAAATATCAACATTATTATTAAAAAAGTCTTCAAAAAAAAAAAAAAAAAACAAAATGGAAAATGAAATTCAACTCTGCCAACCTAAGCATCTTGAACCTCCTCCCTATAGATAAAAAAAATATAAAAAGGTTACGCGATCGTAAGACTTTAATCTTCAAAAGGCAAAAAGCAACTATACCTTGTTTGGTACATAGCATTCACAATGTTACATCCAATGTTATCACTTACATTCATATCTTGGTGTGACAGGTGTGGACCTTCGACTGTTTTTGGAGTAACCTCCCCTGATGGATGAGGTATTGGACATTGTGGAAGCTGCCCTCACCATAGAGGTAATCTTCTGGAATGGATTCAAGGTCGACTTTCGTGCTTCGTCGTCATCCATCCAGGTAAAAGGTGCTGCAGTCTGAAAATTCAACAAAACACATTGCCTGTTAATAAGTAAAGCCAAACCTGTCTTAAAAGGCCATGTACCTGTCTATAAAGGTCACTTGTACTGATCGTGATGAAATAAAATTCACAGAAATCATACCTCTACATTAAGGCCATTAGTGTTGATTCTGGTGTTATACGATTCATAGTACTTGAACCTCTATATAAAGGTCACTTGTCTATAAAGGTCCTGATTAAATACAATTCACAATCATTACACTTCTATATAAAGGGCACCTGTCTATAAAGGTCATTTGTGTTGATCCTGATTAAATACAATTCACAATCATTATGCCTCTTTATAAAGGTCACCTGTCTATGAAGGCTACTTTTCTCTGATCGCTTGTGGTCAATATAGACACGTGTGAGTGGAAAACTTATCACTAAATCCCTAAAAATAACAAAATTCTACTAAATTTCAAATGAATTTGACAAAAAAAAGAATTTTATAATATCAATGTAAAGATTAACATTAATAGCAGTGTGGGTGATTTGTAGTAGATCACTATAGCTACACTGTGTAAGTTTGTTAAAGGATGATAAATAGATGTAACCCTGGTAAAACACTATAACAGTTCACTCAGGTTATCAGCAACATTCATTTTGTTGTTTTTATAAGATCAAACCAAACTGGGTTGTGTTACGACATAGCAATGATGTCAGTGACGGTCAGCATTGTGTCTGAGGCAACAAGAACATGCTTGGTAAATTTTAAAATGTTATAACAACTTTTATAAAAATATCTTAACTTAATTTATGTAACAAACATCATTTGTATTTCAATACCTCTGCTAGGTTTCGAACCCAGAACCTCTGGTTTGCTAATCTGATGGCCAAATGATGGAGCTATAGAGAAGTTCACTTTAGCCTTGTGGTAATTATTGTTGCTAGTATTTTCCTCAGAGTAACATACTCCCCATTTAGGTAATAACTCATTTGTGAGTTTTCAGTGGTTACAATGATGTTTATGGAGCATGGCCAATGTCCCAACAGAGGCGCCAATGTAACAGAGGTCATTGTTTAAGTCATTGTCTTTGCTAGGATTCAAACCCGGGATCCCTGGCTTACTAGTCTGGTGCTCAACCAATCCAGCTTAAGAGAATTTCCCTCCAGCTGAGTGGCATATTTCTGCTAGTATTTACCAGAGTTACAAAGTCAAGATTAAAAGTGACAAAATATTATTTAGCATGCAGTAGTAAATAATCTAATCGTGATGCATGAATACTAGATTCTATTTCTCTCAAAGGTCTCCCCAGAGGCTGGACCTTTAGGAACCTAAAATATCTTTTACATTTCATAATAATATAACCTAGTTGCAACAAATCATGAAGTTTTATTTTTTTGAGATTCTTAATTATTAGCATGGATAAAGAATGCACAAAAGTGGATCCTGATGAAAAAATATTTTTTACAAGTTCAATAATATTGTTCATGCATAACCATCCATAACACATCAATTTTCTAACAAACACATAACTAAGACTCAGTTGTTAAGACAGGAGGCATAATCTAGTCACTGTTTTAAGTATTCTAAAATTCATTAATTAGTACTAAAACACATCTTTGTTAGAAGAAGGATGCCAGGCAATTCATCTGAAGACAAAACACGTTAAAAATTAGATTTCGACACAGTAGCTATTGGTGAAGGTTAATGGAAAAATGTTGTATGACCGTCTGTGAACGAGACAAGCATCATGACAGTGAGTCTATGAGACAGACATCAAGACACAGTGAGTCCATGAGACAGACATCATGACACAATGAGTCCATGAGACAGACATCATGACACAGTGAATCCACCAGACAGATATCATGACAATGAGTCCATGAGACAGACATCATGACACAGTGAGTCCATGAGACAGACATCATGACAATGAGTCCATGAGACAGACATCATGACACAGTGAGTCCATGAGACAGACATCATGACACAATGAGTCCATGAGACAGACATCATGACACAGTGAATCCACGAGACAGACATCATGACAGTGAGTCCATGAGACAGACATCATGACACAGTGACTCCATGAGACAGACATCATGACAGTGAGTCCATGAGAAAGACATCATGACAGTGAGACAGATATAATGACAATGAGTCCATGAGACAGACATCATGACACAGTGACTCCATGAGACAGACATCATGACAGTGAGTCCATGAGACAGACATTATGACAGTGAGTCTATGAGAAAGACATCATGACAATGAGTCCATGAGACAGACATCATGACACAGTGACTCCATGAGACAGACATCATGACAGTGAGTCCATGTGACAGACATCATGACAGTGAGACAGACATCATGACAATGAGTCCATGAGACAGACATCATGACAATGAGTCCATGAGACAGACATCATGACACAGTGAGTCTATGAGACAGACATCATGACAATGAGTCTATGAGACAGACATCATGACAGTGAGTCCGTGAGACAGATATCATGACAGTGAGACAGATATCATGACAATGAGTCCATGAGACAGACATCATGACAATGAGTCCATGAGACAGACATCATGACAATGAATCCATGAGACAGACATCATGACAGTGAGTCCATGAGACAAGCATATTGACAGTGAGTCTATGAGACAGACATCATGACAATGAGTCTATGAGACAGACATCATGACAGTGAGTCCATGTGACAGACATCATGACAGTGAGACAGACATCATGACAATGAGTCCATGAGACAGACATCATGACAATGAGACAGACATCATGACAGTGACTCCATGAGACAGACATGATGACACAGTGAGTCCATGAGACAGACATCATGACACAGTGACTCCATGAGACAGACATCATGACAGTGAGTCCATGTGACAGACATCATGACAGTGAGACAGACATCATGACAATGAGTCCATGAGACAGACATCATGACAATGAGTCCATGAGACAGACATCATGACAGTGACTCTATGAGACAGACATCATGACAATGAGTCCATGAGACAGACATCATGACAATGAGTCCATGAGACAGACATCATGACAATGAGTCCATGAGACAGACATCATGACACAGTGAGTCCGTGAGACAGATATCATGACAGTGAGACAGACATCATGACAATGAGTCCATGAGACAGACATCATGACAGTGAGTCCATGAGACAGACATCATGACACAGTGAGTCCATGAGACAGACATCATGACAATGAGTCCATGAGACAGACATCATGACAATGAGTCCATGAGACAGACATCATGACAGTGACTCCATGAGACAGACATCATGACACAGTGAGTCCATGAGACAGACATCATGACACAGTGAGTCCATGAGACAGACATCATGACAATGAGTCCATGAGACAGACATCATGACAGTGACTCCATGAGACAGACATCATGACACAGTGAGTCCATGAGACAGACATCATGACAATGAGTCCATGAGACAGACATCATGACAATGAGTCCATGAGAAGAACACAAAAATTAAATGAGTCGATGAGAAGGCTACAGCATGACAATGAGTCAATTAGGGACACAATATGACAGTGGCTCAGAAACAGCATGATAACCAGTCAATGAGGGGATTGAACATGATAATGAGTAAATGAAAATGGATTAATAATGAGTCAATGAAAGTGACAAAGCATGAAAATGAGCTAATGACATTAATGAGGAGCACATAACGATAGTGAGTCAATAAGATTTACATGGCATACTACAGTGAGTCAGTAAGGGACACACTTATGGCACTGATTCAATAAGAAGGGTTATGTACATCAGTGAGAGGAATCAGGGCAAGATGTTGTAGCATACAACAAACAAAAGCAAGCAAGTTAATTAGTATGTGACACAACATTTCAGTGGATTATTGTGAGAAAACTTCACACAGAGTCAATATGATGACCATGCTACACAAGCAGGCTGATGAGAAATCTACAGTAATAAGTCAGTGTTAAAGCCTGTCAGGCAGCTGGTCTGGGATACAGCATACTGTGAGTGGATTAGCTGTTCAAGGCACACCAAACGGAATCTGTTGAGGCTCTGGACCTCTACCTTTGGATCCTTTTCTGGTGGAAGAAGTGAGACCCTCCGTTGCTGAGAGTATACCTCACGTTCTTCCTCACTATCTTCACTGTCGTAACCTTGATTTTTTCTTTTTGACCGCTTCTTTTTAGTGACTTTATTGCGGTTCTGCATGCAAGGCATGAGTTGTACATCTTTATCTACAGAGACTTCCTCCTCCTCCTCTGCTTCATCGTCTTGAGAGTCGGACTCCATGGTTTCCAAACGATATCGACGAGCGATCTGATTTACGACCCAACATGTTGTAATATTTCATGTTGTCTTCAAAATGTCAATAATTCATCTGTAGCATTTTGTCTTAGCCCTTATTTTGTCTTTTTGGGTTTTTTTTTCTGTTTTTTGTTTTTCTTTTGTTTCACCTTTATTCTTTGAATATTTTATTTCAAATACAAACTAACAAGGCTTAACTTTGAAATTAAAGAAATGATTAAACGACAGTTATCTCTTTTCAACTTCCAAACCTAAAGTGTTTAATAAACTGCATTGTAACCTTGCAGTTAGATATCTATGATTTCACCTCAAAAATGAAAGCAAATTCATTTATCATTACAAAACACAATAACAGTATCAGAACAGAGCCGACAAATATACATATATACAAATGTATTTGGATTTGAAATATGAACTTTTGATTCATAAATGTAATTTCTACTTTTCTTTTAAATTCACCTAGAATCTGTTCCACCAATTCTTTATCATATTTTCATTCCTCAAACATAGCTTAGCATTACCTCAAAGATATCCATGGCAGAGTTGTCTTTCTCCACAGGAAGTCCACCCCATCCTGGCGGCATGTGACGCGGATCTGGCTCTGGTACCTGTCAAGTACACAACAACAGAAAAATTACAATCTCCTGAACTTTTCTGTCATTACTGGTAATGTTATAAGGCTTTATTCTCTAAACTGTTCCGATTTTTTTTCTTTTACACTGAGGACCTGTGTTATTTTTAAACCTTAATAAGTTTTGGAAGTTAACTTTTTGGATGGATATTGCTGAAAAAAAATTATAATCCATATTATTTGCACGTCAAAACACAAAATTTTTACTAAAAGCAATGACCAGGAGGTCTCAAACACTAACCTGCAATTAACCAATATCAGCTATCTTGAATCATTAACTACTTTTTTCTGTTTTGTTTTGTCATTTTTTGAATTTGTTTTTTTTCTCTAAAATTAGGTAGTCTTAAATCGGTTGCACTCATTGCTTTGCTTTTAATTTTAATCTACTATATATTCTTCCTAATTACGGTTGTTTTATCATTACCTCACCATGACGGAGGTATTTTAAAAAATAATTATTTTTCATAAATACAGAAACTAGACAATTGTTTGGAAATTTAGCAAAACAATGTTTTGATGAAACATTTACTGTTCTTACCGGTTTCAGTGTCCATATGTCCTTCTTACGAATCGTTGGAGTGACCGGTCGGACAAAACCAAGGTTTTTCCTGATCACAGAGTTTGGAATGTACCCTACAATAATCACATTTTTACTAATATTCACACTTTTTAATATACATTCAAGTTGCAAAACAATATATGTGGAAGATTCTAATCAGTATATTATTAAGAAGTTGTGATTCTTTACATTTTAAGTTCTCTTTTTGTTCTTTTCTCAAATGAATCTATAATTAGCCTGGTGTGCAGCTGCCATTCACTTCATTATCACCCAAAACAGTGAAACTTTAACCTACATTTTAATAAGAATCTATGAAATTCATCTTTACCATCTTTTGGAATGATTTTGGAACGACGTTTCAGTAGTTCTCGTTCCCATGGCAACAGTTCATCGAGATTTGGACTGGTCCCCTCACTGTGGTTTCCTTAAAAAATACATAAACTTTGGCTATAGTTACATTTTGTGTTTGATAAAAATGCCTTGAGAAATGAACTTTCTAGAGTTACAATGCTTCTGGAGGGACTGGAAGACAAAATAGGTTAAGTTGGGTAACTCTATATGTCCACCTCTATGGTGTATAAAGAAGTTGAACACTCAGACAATTGATAACTGAAGAACTGTAATAATTCTTCAATCAACAGCATGTTATAGACTTTCTTCAATGTCATTTCAGAATACTAGACAATTAATTTCTCAACGCTGCCCTCATTTATTTGACAAAAATTGTACCATTCTGGTCTTCTTGTTGTCTACCAGATCACCCAGGTTAACACAGACCTGTATAAAACAGATTCAGTGGGTTTGTTTCTCCAATGAAATAGTCAATGGCTTTTAGATCAACTTATTTATGCCTCTAATTACTTTTCGTTTATGAATACAATAATCAACACAGCTGTAATCAACAAATCAACGTACGTCAGTTTAATCTGATAAAATCTATGACAAAACAATGACCAGTTTATCCAGCAGGGTTTGTGTATAAACACTACAGTTCTGAGCTCTTTATCAAATATCCATCATAATTCACTGGTGTTAAATTACTTCATTATTGAACTTTAAATACAACATTTCATGACTCCATTACTGATTTCCATACACAGTCAGGTTTTTGTAAATCATGCTTCATTTTTCTCAACAAATTCTTTAATTTAAGTAGCTTTCTCCTCACTGAACATCTCGAGGAAAGATTTATAAAAATTTCAAAATGCAATATTTCTAGGACAAAATAACAGGAACAATAACACTGACAAATATTAAAGTCAAAAGTAAATTTCTCCAGCTCCGCTCTACGGACTTACCAAAGATCGATTATAAACTAATTTGTTCTGGCACGCAATGTAGTATTTATAATTAGTGATACAGTGATTATAGTTCATAATGTTTGTTTGTTTAACTTTTAAATTCAAACTTAACGGTCCAGTAACGAATCAAGGATACACAGGGCTACAGTAAGTATGTAGCTGAAAATAATCGTACTACACAAGGTCACATGGAACCTGATGTACACATCAATGCATCAACACAGTAAGTCAAACTTAAGTCATAAAGAACCATGTTGTTTGTATGGTACTCTGTGAGCAGCCAGGGTCAGTTTGAGATAGAGTCTTTGTGAAATAGCCGGTGACTACCTCACTAAACAACATACAGGAGGCCCATCATACACTATTCAGATCAATTAGAATAAAGTGTAAATAAACCATGAACCTCAGATCTCCACCTAAGGTTACCATGGCAATCATTCTGACTAAGCTATATATATCATACAAATCATATTTATGACCAATCAACACAATGAAGTAATACAGAGCCTTACCAGAAACTATCAACAATGCAGTCTTTAGAGTGTAGAAATAGCATTAGGTTTGAATGGGCCGCATTGTAGTGTAAATAGCAGGGCCACACTATAGTCGAAGTAGCAGGGTATCACTGTTGTTTAAAGGACACAGAAATAGCATTAGGTTTGACAGGGCCAGACTGTAGTCTTAAGGACACAGAAATAGCATTAGGTTTAATAGGGCCAGACTGTAGTCTTAAGGATATAGAAATAGCATTAGGTTTAACAGGGCCAGACTGTTGTCTTAAGGATATAGAAATAGCATTAGGTTTAACAGGGCCAGACTGGTGTCTTAAGGATATAGAAATTGCATTAGGTTTAACAGGGCCAGACTGATGTCTTAAGGATATAGAAATTGCATTAGGTTTAATAGGGCCAGATTGGTGTCTTAAGGATATAGAAATTGCATTAGGTTTAACAGGGCCAGACTGGTGTCTTAAGGATATAGAAATTGCATTAGGTTTAACAGGGCCAGACTGGTGTCTTAAGGATATAGAAATTGCATTAGGTTTAATAGGGCCAGACTGGTGTCTTAAGGATATAGAAATTGCATTAGGTTTAACAGGGCCAGACTGGTGTCTTAAGGATATAGAAATTGCATTAGGTTTAACAGGGCCAGACTGGTGTCTTAAGGATATAGAAATTGCATTAGGTTTAACAGGGCCACACTGTAATCTAATTTTCCTGTTACCCTGGACTGACCAAGAAACTCTGAAATTATGTGCTCTTTGACCGTCCTATTCTTGATGAATGTCAGTCTCATAGGGTTTTTTTTCACAATAATGATAGCATAAACAATTTATTTCATAGTTATAAGCAGTGACAAAAAACAGGCTTGAAAGCTGACTGTTAAATCTCTCTTAACAACCAAATATAGGTGTTGACATCCGGAAAGCAACATTTAATTCTACACCCAACACAGACTGACAGCGTGACACAACAGTATCAATATCACCATTTTTAAATGTTTCTGGTTTTAAGCGACAGGGTGTGTATGTGTGTGGTCACAGTTTAATCAGCCTTATACTTTATCAGTGAACGGATGAACAGTTCTTCACCTGATAAAAGCCACATTATGTGGTCGGGAAATATTGGTGTGAACAATTGTAGAGTAAACAACGTCTGTAGCAACCAATTAATGGAACATACTGTTACCTTAAAGCTAGCAATGATTATTTATAATTCATTTCAATAAATGTCAAATCACACATGCTACTTTGACATTAGATTTTTGGTTTGTATAACAATTATACACCTTTGTTGAGGGTGATGTAATGCTACTGGTTATATAAACCTGTGAATGAAACATTGACATTGAAACTTTGAGGTCCATATTAATTATTAATCCATGTTATCCATTCATTAGCTAAAACAATCCTTGCCATGATAATCCGAATGATATCAGGCATTGAATTCCATTGTTATTATCAAACAAAGAGGCAAGTGAAAGAATCATATAATGGTGAGAAATACTATACTTGGTAGAGAGTAATTATGATGTCACACAATTGTGATGTGATGTCACACAATTGTGATGTCATACAATTGTGATGTCATAGATATAATAATCTAAAAGTAAAAATACATGTATATCATCATGTGACCTCCATGTGATTATGATGAAACTAATGAGGATGAAGCACAAAATGATGCTTTCTATAACAAAGAAGAAAAATAACATCCATAAATACATGTCAAATAATTGAAATGGATAAAAATATATCTTATGATCATTGCTAGGAATAATTCTGGTTCATGGGTGGTAATAAGCCCATCCACACAAAACTGTAAGTTCAAATTATAAATCAATATCATTTTATTGTTCTGTGGTAATTAAGCCAATTAACCCTTTTACTTTGAGTAAAAGCTTCTCACCTTATCTTCTCATGATAAGCACACCCCCTGACTTTGAGTAAGAAGTTATGTGTTTTTGATCTTCGACTTATTGACCCATAATAAGGCTGTTCACTTAACTGAGTAAGAAGTTATGTGTTTTCGATCTTTGGCTTATTGTCCCATATAAACCCTACCCGACCACGAGTAATAAGTAATGTGATGGCTCCTCAGCTTATTGACCCACAATAAGGCTGTCAGTTGTCTTTGAGTAAGAAATAATGTGCTTTGGATCTTTGGCTTATTGACCATCCATAAGACTTTCCTCTGACTTTGAGTAAGAAGTGATGTGTTGGCTCCACTGCTTATTCTGTAATAAGCTCATTCCTGTTTTTTTACTGTAAGTAAGAAGTAATATATGTTGGATGTTAAGCTGACTGTTCCGTTAATAAGCCCACATCGGACTTTGAGTAAGAAGTGATTAGCTGACTCCTGGACTTATTGTCCAGTAATAAGCCCACTACTGACTTCAAGTATGAAGTTATGTGTGGACTTCTTGGCTTATTGTCCTGTAATAAGCCCAAACCTGACTTTGAGTAAAAAGATATATGTGTTGGTTCCTCAGTTTGTGCCATAATAAGCCCGTCCTCTTACTTTGAAGAAGAATGGAAGAAGCAGTTTGTAATTCCTGTTTAAATACTGTCAACTATTGAAACCCTGTTACTTAAATGATGATTTCATTTTATCACATCATCTTGACCCCAGGTATGTTAAGGTACCCTTATAAATAATGAATTAAACATGTCAGATCTGGCAAGACCAAATGAAAACCTCCAACACTCACAGTTTAAGTTAGAAGTCTTACTCACTTTTTCTGTCTGTGCGACTCCCAGCTTTGTCACGTGACACCATACTCCTCTGTGATTGGCTAGCTCTAGACAAAGGCTTTTCAAAAGGTGATCCTATTTCAACTTCAGCACTGAATTCAAAATCTGAAGAAAGAAAAAATAAAAACCATGATGAGGATTGCATGTAACACCAGTGATGTTTAACAGACCCATTGGAGGTGTCTTTTTCTCTTTTTTTTTCGACAGGAAAAATCCATTTACCAAACAATGCACATACAAGAGTGATCTGCCTGTCCATTAAAAACATATGAAACACAAAGCTATTTATCCATTAAATACATCATAAATACAATGTTAATGACCCATAAATACGTCAGGAATATTTTTGATCCATTAATAAAGAAGGCATGTCATTGATTTATAATCTATACATCACGAATGTCAAGACCATTGATCCATTAAACAGACTCCAAATATTAGTTCACTAAAAACATCAAGATGTCAAACCATTGAATCCAGAAATAATATACCAACTCATTAAAACCATAAATCAATTGAAAATATCAGGAATGTCAAAATCATTATTAATACACTGAATCATTAAGACTGTTGATCCATTAAAACATCAAGAATGACAAACTTTTGATCAATTAAAATGTCAGGAATGTTAAAACATTGACCAATTAAAACATCAGGAATGTTTAAACATTGACCAATTAAAACATCAGGAATGTTAAAACATTGACCAATTAAAACATCAGGAATGTTTAAACATTGATCCATTAATAATACACCTGATGATTACAACCACGGGACAATTCAGACAAAATATTTTATTTAAGTCAAATGAACAAGAACTCTTAATCCTCTAATTTAATTTTTGAAAATATCTTGTTAAATCTTTCAATCTATTATACTTTGTGAAAATTTCAACATGATATTATCAAACTTACAAGCAAAGCTAGGCTATAATTACTTTCAAAACATGTATTAATTTGAACTGTAAGATAATAAAATATTTCTCGCTCACTTTTTTGATTGAGAAAATTTGTGTCCCCTTTTTCAAATTGTAAAATAAATAATTAATTAAAGATAATTTTGCATAAATGTATTTAAGAAATTGCATAAAGCATGGCAGATCAGATGGCATTTGTTAACAAATTAGGAATAACTGATGAATTTATCTAAACACATGCCATTAAAATATTAACAATTTTATTTATTATTTTTTTCTTTCTAAATTTTGATTTTAGATGCGGAATGAATTTCAAAATGTGCTTGTTTGGTGACCCCCCCCCCACCCTCCCCCATCCCCCCAGGTAACATGCAGGAAAGTTAAATAAATTTCTCCAACTTACCATGGTACTCGCATGTGTTATGCATAGCATTAATTCTTCCACTGATCAACATTTTGCTAAATTGATTGATGTCTCTAAAGATGTATAAATCCAATTCACAATAATATTCCTAGTTACTTTCACAAGTTATCCATGAAAATGTTATCTTTACAGACACCAATGTCAACAGATTATCTACATGTATGTTAGATCAATATCTAAAGTGCAACAGGAATATGTTTCAAATCCTTCATTACATAAAATATTCCATCAATTTACATGCCACAGCTGTTAGGTAAGAGCATGTCCCATCATTTTAGACGAACAAACTCAAATCAAAAACCAACATATGACTAATTCATAAAATACAACACTCCCATTGGCTTTTAAAAATCTTAAACTAATTTTATCATGAAATGAAACACCATTTTTTTTTATTCTAAATCTATCAAGATAAAAGAGAAAGTAACCAGCCCCAGAAGTTAATTCTGACCACCACCCCCATTATTGAACAATAGACTGTCTTTCTGATATAGTTCGTCCAGCCTATTATATTACAAAGGGGAGTGAGGTTTTATGACTGTTGTATAATAAACAAAGCAATATTTGTTTGTGATGTTGATCAAGTTGACATAGAAATAGAGACCAATACACAGAATCTGATTCACATAAGTCTCCATTGTGTTCTTGTCTTGATGGAACAGGCGCGGCCTTACATGCAATCTTTGAGACAAACACTGACACAGTAACGTAATGTGGAAGTATAAAATGCTGGTCTACCTAACCCTGTCAATTTCACACTCACTGCACATGAACGCTGGTCAATTCTAAGTATTTCATAAATGTACATTTTTTTTATCTGATATGTAAGGAACAATGTGTTTGATTATAATGAATTAGTCTAATGATATACTGTGAAAGTTTGATATATAAAAATAACACAGAACATCAGTAATGGAGATTTTAATCTGGAAAAATAACAATATTTATACCTAACAAAACCCTTTATCCTGGTAATAAGCCCATCTATATAAATTACCTAAACTTGTAAATTATGCTGATCCACATCCTCAAATAAAGTCCACAGACTGAATTTAAGTAAAATGTACTTTGTATGCTACCCATAGAATAAGTACTGTGCTGGCTCCCTAAAGAATAAGTACTGTGCTGGCTCCCTATAGAATAAGTACTGTGCTGGCTCCCTATAGAATAAGTACTGTGCTGGCTCCCTATAGAATAAGTACTGTGCTGGCTCCCTATAGAATAAGTACTGTGCTGGCTCCCTATAGAATAAGTACTGTGCTGGCTCCCTATAGAATAAGTATTGTGCTGGCTCCCTATGGAATAAGTATTGTGCTGGCTCCCTAAAGAATAAGTACTGTGCTGGCTCCCTATGGAATAAGTACTGTGCTGGCTCCCTAAAGAATAAGTATTGTGCTGGCTCCCTAAAGAATAAGTACTGTGCTGGCTCCCTATGGAATAAGTACTGTGCTGGCTCCCTAAAGAATAAGTACTGTGCTGGCTCCCTAAAGAATAAGTACTGTGCTGGCTCCCTATAGAATAAGTACTGTGCTGGCTCCCTATGGAATAAGTATTGTGCTGGCTCCCTAAAGAATAAGTACTGTGCTGGCTCCCTATAGAATAAGTACTGTGCTGGCTCCCTATAGAATAAGTACTGTGCTGGCTCCCTAAAGAATAAGTACTGTGCTGGCTCCCTAAAGAATAAGTACTGTGCTGGCTCCCTATAGAATAAGTACTGTGCTGGCTCCCTATGGAATAAGTATTGTGCTGGCTCCCTAAAGAATAAGTACTGTGCTGGCTCCCTATAGAATAAGTACTGTGCTGGCTACCCATAGAATAAGTACTGTGCTGGCTCCCTATGGAATAAGTATTGTGCTGGCTCCCTATAGAATAAGTACTGTGCTGGCTCCCTATGGAATAAGTACTGTGCTGGCTCCCTATAGAATAAGTACTGTGCTGGCTCCCTATGGAATAAGTACTGTGCTGGCTCCCTATAGAATAAGTACTGTGCTGGCTCCCTAAAGAATAGAACTGTACTGTAGCATTTTCAATTTCAAACAATGATCACTACATGATTACCTCACTTTAACAGAAAAAAAAGGGTAACAACTCTTATAAAATTATTGAATCGATGAATTGTTCAGGTAAACAAAATTTCATATTATAGTCATATAGCGTATCAAGATGAAAATAAAACTGAGAGAGGAGATCTCTGGACAATATTAATTATTAAAGATTATGAAAAAAGGGGGCATTCACTCTTCCAAATACAGCCAGGAAAAATTTCTTTTCAATGTGAAAGAGATTGGTTGAATCCCGTCAAAATTTTCAAAATTTCCATGTTCAGGGACAACAACAAACAAAAAATTAGAATTATTTTAGAACTTAATATATTTGATTGCATTTGCACTTAACAAACAATTACTTCTGGATTAGGTGCATAAATTTTCCATCACAGTCATATCCTGAGCAAAAGAAATATTCATGAATCTAAAGACTTTCTTATAAGCAATATTTGAAATATGTCTGATGAATTGGGGGAAAAGCTTCAAAACAAGTCAAACTGGTAGAAAAAGCATAAAAAATATCATTGCTAAGTTAAACTTTGTTTTGCCAAATTATTTCTCTCTTTTTTAAAAGTTAAGAAAACAACAGTTATCAATAACGATATATCTGATGTAAATGTATCAGACACGACTGCAATGGAAAAGCTATCCATATATCTCCACTCCGACCCCTTACCTTTACAATATCATCTGACAAGCATGCAGGTACAGCATTGCTTTGTCACACGACGAACGATTCTCCTACGACAGGTTGGATGTGTCTATATACCATGTACCATAAATAATTAAATGATTTTACACAGAAGTTGAAGGGAATAAAAGTATTTCCTTCCTTTTCTGAAAATAAAATCACAATATTTCACAGAATCTTCCAAATTATACACATCACATTCCTGGACATTTTGAAGATTTTCCGTCCTATGATAATTTGATTCTGCAGCAGGACAGTGTAACTACTTCAAGCCTCTTGGTTGTAGTATATTTCACCAGCAGCTTAAGTATTCTGGCCGGTAAAATCTCCACTGATGTTCCTTATAATGATGTATGTAGAATTGATTGGTGTGTTTATAGTGTAATGTATATGACAAATACATTGATATCTTAGTCTAAACATACCAGGCCAAGGCAATAAGAATGTCTGTTGCTATCTAATTCTCGTTGCTTCTAAAAACCTTGACAAAATATCTTTTATTACTGCTGATAACTTATTTCATATTTTCATGTTTTTGCAGATTTGGAAGTAAACGCTCATTTCAATCATAAACCAGCTCACTTCTGGCCCATGAAGAGCATTTGATATAACCATATTTGGGTATACAGAGGATGATATTTGAAATTTAATTCAACCTGACCCTTTTCAGCCCTGTCCATCAGCCCCTGGGGGTCAGCCAAGGTGAATATGTGCATTAAACTATCATCTTATTCTAATCATTCTGACCAAGTTTAGACTATTTCTAGTAAAAAATAAACAAATTAAGCTCAAAAATATAATTTTCCTATATAAAATATGAAACTCCACGTACATGAAATTTACAATTTTGGTAAAGCACAACAAGAATCTTCCATCCATGAAGAGTATTTGATTCTATCATACTTTGGTATTGAGAATATTTTCTTCAATTTCAGCTATCTGACCCCTTTTTGGCCCCATCGCCCAGGTCCCTGGAGGATGAGCATCATAACATGTACAATTCTCTTTAACCTTTGGATAAGGCAGGTTTCTGACAAAATATCATTAAAGTAAGGAGTCAAAAATGTAAATAATGTACAGATGGACAACGGGCGACACCGGACAAAAGGGGCTGAAATAGGTTACCATGAGACTTAGTTTCTATACATATGTTGTCAAAAATGACCTTTGACCCTTTAACCACATTCATATGATTAGGTGTAGATCTCAAATACTATGATTAAATGATACTAAAATAAAAAACCATTGGGCCTCCTGATATTTCAGAAATCCTAAAATATTTTGACCACTGTAAAATTACAAACACTTTCTATTTCTGGCATCTGCTTCTCCGTACTTTATATTAAGTTACTTTATTCAATACTTGATATTTACTAACACATCTGTTTTTACCCTTTAGTCAATAGTGGTCCTTATCTCTCCCCTAGAGGTCACACTGTTTTATGATGGGAAATTAAATTGTCCTCATCTTAATGTAGGATAAGCCAGTCTCAATTTTATCAAAACACAAGATGGAAGATTTCAAACCTTTAACAGTATTTCCTCTGTCTCCTCCATCAAAGGTTCTCTCTGCTCCAAATGGAGTTAGAGACCAAATATTTACAAACTATATCTGTGTGTATGGCAAGAAGCTTTCAGGAACTTTTTTTTGTTTGTTGTTGTAATCAAATATGGCTGTTAAGCTATTAATGATAAGCTAAGAAACAGTTTGCTTGGCCTAATATCTTCCAGAACTGATTATCAGGAAGATGATTGAATATTATGGGATGTTGTCCCAAAGATAACTTATGACCTTTACCGGATGTATGCACTGTAATCACACAGTATATCAGAGTGTCAAGTACTACAGGTGCCTTGGAAAACAAAATCAAGAATTTGTTTAGTCCTGATCATATGGTGTAAGCGTTTAAGGCTTCATGCTATCATTTATTCTTCACAATGGACTGATTAGTGGTTTGTTAGCACAATCTGATCATCTTCAGGAAATATTGACACAAATTTTTTAAAAAATGAAATTTTTAAAACTAGTATAAATCATTTAGAAATGACATGTGAGTGTCATCTCATTAATGAAGTAACCATTGAATTTGTTTAAAGAAATATTAAGAATCTTAAGTTTGAAATTTGAATTAATTTGTTTTTGGAAAATGAATATATGAAAAAAATGAAGGCACTTCCCTATTACCTGCTACTTATTCCCCATTCAAAGTTTACTTCCATCTAAAGACTTTTTGATAAAACATTTAATGTTCTGTTTTAGACAAGTGACATTTTGCGTATTACTTATCATTCCCACCTTTCCCACATTTCTCAATAATAAATTTTAGGTCTAAACTCAGGTTTTTTTCATATGAGATATTATGAAATCTTAAACTTTGGATGATTTTCATAAAAAGAAAAAAATTCATATAAGAAGGAAATAAATTTAAATAATTTTCATCACCAAATTCAGAAAAAGTAAAAATGCAGGGGACAAAACCAAATGCTGGCAGCCATTTTGAATTCATTGTCCATATATTATGACATCACAATCAATTTCTGACTGGTGCAGCCAATGAAAAATGTTTTAGGGTATATAACACTAGTGATGTATATGCAAAAATATTACATGGGTAAATTCAGTCAATAACAGGCAGATGAAGTGATTATGTTTTAGATAGGTGACACTTTCCAATCCATCACCTTCAAACTTACCTCCATCTAAATCATCTTCGTTATTTTCTTCCTTTATTGTTTCATCAATGTCAAAATTTTCTTTAATTCCATCTCCATCTTGATTGTTTTCTTCTAAAACAAAGAAAAAAACAAAAATAAATTGATGTCAAACTGACATCATGACCTTGGCATTGATTAAGTACATTCACAGATAAAACCTACTTAATTTTAGCATTTGATCACAATTTGGAAAATGAGCCTAATGATGAATCATGCATATATAAACGTTGCGATAAAAAATCAATATACAGACACTGTACTTAGTATACTTATATTTTAGAGCAATGCATTCAGTGCATCAAGGCTAAAATAAGACAACAACTAAAAAGAACACATTAGCAGTAAGTAACCAAAAAATCGTTAACTTGCATTAAATTGGTAGTCAGCGATATCATGGATTCTCTTACGAAGTTATCTGTTCACAAATCAATTAACTATTAAAGCAAGTGTCAGCCTTTAACTGTGTAGAATATGATATAATCAAGGTCAGCCTTAACTGTGTAGAATATGATATAATCAAGGTCAGCCTTAACTGTGTAGAATATGATATAATCAAGGTCAGCCTTAACTGTGTAGAATATGATATAAATAAGGTAAGTCTTAACTGTGTAGAATATGATATAATCAAGGTCAGCCTTAACTGTGTAGAATACGATATAAATAAGGTCAGCCTTAACTGTGTAGAATATGATATAATCAAGGTCAGCCTTAACTGTGTAGAATATGATATAATCAAGGTCAGCCTTAACTGTGTAGAATATGATATAATCAAGGTCAGCCTTAACTGTGTAGAATATGATATAATCAAGGTCAGCCTTAACTGTGTAGAATATGATATAAATAAGGTCAGTCTTAACTGTGTAGAATATGATATAATCAAGGTCAGCCTTAACTGTATATATGATATAATCAAGGTCAGCCTTAACTGTGTAGAATATGATATAATCAAGGTCAGCCTTAACTGTGTAGAATATGATATAATCAAGGTCAGCCTTAACTGTGTAGAATATGATATAATCAAGGTCAGTCTTAACTGTGTAGAATATGATATAATCAAGGTCAGTCTTAACTGTGTAGAATATGATATAATCAAGGTCAGTCTTAACTGTGTAGAATATGATATAAATAAGGTCAGCCTTAACTGTGTAGAATATGATATAATCAAGGTCAGCCTTAACTGTGTAGAATATGATATAATCAAGGTCAGCCTTAACTGTGTAGAATATGATATAATCAAGGTCTGCCTTAACTGTGTACTGAATATGATATAACTGTGTACTGTGAATATGATATAATCAAGGTCAGCCTTAACTGTGTAGAATATGATATAATCAAGGTCAGCCTTAACTGTGTAGAATATGATATAATCAAGGTCAGCCTTAACTGTGTAGAATATGATATAATCAAGGTCAGCCTTAACTGTATATATGATATAATCAAGGTCAGTCTTAACTGTGTAGAATATGATATAATCAAACTGTATAGAATATGATATAATCAAGGTCAGTCTTAACTGTGTAGAATATGATATAATCAAGGTCAGCCTTAACTGTATATATGATATAATCAAGGTCAGCCTTAACTGTCAGCCTTAACTGTATATATGATATAATCAAGGTCAGCCTTAACTGTGTAGAATATGATATAAATAAGGTCAGTCTTAACTGTGTGGTAGGTTTCTTATAGCTACATTCTATGCAGGAAATCAAGTGCTTACAAAAAAATTTCTTTTAAAAATCTATCCCATAATTTGCAGCCAATGAAAACAGGATATCCAATTTAACAGTAATTAGTTTTACTTACTATTTTCTTTTTCTCCAGTCTGACCTTCAATCTTGTTTTCCTCAGAACTCTCCTGTACAGCGGTATCTTCAGGCAGAGCCTCAAGGTCTTTAACCACTAACTGTTTTGATGTTTTGTCCTTCTTGGTTTTTTCCTGCACTCGCTGGGACAAAGTGGTGCTGTATCGTGGCAGTTGTTGAGGGTCGAACCTAAAACAGGGATACCATTAAAATGTGAGTCCATATCCTTCATCATGGTCTTACAGAGGTATTACTCTGGAGATCTTACACTAAGCTAGAGGAAGTAACTCAAGTCATGTAAGAATATGACCAATAACTAACATTTATATCAAACAGAGTTTTTTTAAATCTATTTATTACAGGGCTATAGCCAATCTTTATTATTTACTGCTGCAGTTTTACAAGAATTGTACTTACCAGGGTTTGACAATATTGTTGTACACTATAGCATTTTCCCTCAGGTCATCCTATAAAACAACAGATCAATAAAGTGTCAAACATAAGTCAAAAACATAAGTATGTATAAATATCAAACAATCTTAATATTTTGCCCGACACAAGAAAACATCCAATAATTTAAAACCATAATGACAATTATTGTATAACTGCCTCCTATTTTATTACATTTCTGTGAAGGAGATTACGTATTTAAAACTTTACATCAGAGAAGATTATATTCCTAGCCCATCTATTGATAATGTTCTCTAATTAGATATTATAAATATTCTGAATAATGACCGATTTCTACTGATAGTTCATATTTAAAATTTCAGACAATGTGAAATAAAACTCCACTATCTTTACCAAAGCAGTGTTACAACATCTAGTCATCGAATACCTATAGAAGTCATAGCCTTTCAAAATCAAGAGTGTTTTAAAAGTTTGCAGAGAAGGACGGTCGCCACATAATCAATTCTGTTGTATAGTTAACACATCTGGATGTATTCAGATGATATTCTATTTGATGTTTAACAATTATTTTGAATACATAACATCAGAAAATTGATTCTGGAAATTTTTAAAAATGATCAAAATGAAAGAAATACCATGTCATTTTTGCATTTTCCATGACGTTAGCAGGTCATCATATTGCCAATATCAGGAGTTGTTGACAATGCCCAAGGACTAAATATCTTAAGGTCAGCTTTAAATGTGTAAACTATCATTAATTACAATGTAATGCAAAACAGTAGAAATAATCATATTTACCAAGAAGTCAAGCAATGCTATTCTCTCCAGGTAATTTTGTGGAAAATAAGTAGTCAGGGGAATTGAACTGAAAAAACAAAATTCAACAATTTATAACAATTATGTAGGCATTGTTGATTTGTCAATTCCTTAATTTCAATTCAAAATGCAATTTATGAATTTTTTATGTTAATGTGTGGATTTAAATGTCATTCTTTTCTTAGGTTAAGCATCCTTTATTATATGGCATCTATCATTATCAAAAATCTCAATGTTTCATAGTCACAAAACATAATGTTTTTCATGGTTCTTCTTTTCTAATGTTATGAAAGACATTTTTCTGAAAAATCATGAACTGAACAAAAAAATATGATCTTTAAATTAGCAAAAATAATTACATAATAATTATTTTGCAGAAAAATTAGCCCTGTTTGTTTATGATTTCAATACATCTCTTACGCTTATTAGCACAATAATTAAACAGACAACTTGATATAAGTATGCAGTCCTCTGTTTTAAAGTCCTTTCTAAAGACTTAAAGCCTAAATATAGAACAACTAAACCTATCCCCAATAGCATGCATTGTATATACTGAGCAATGGTGAAACGCTATACTCTAGTCAGTGTACAATTAAATAATCGAGGTCAAAGAATATTAATAAATAATACAAATTAATGGACGTTTTATTGCTCTCGTGGACGTTTACATTCTGGTTTTGTTTTATGCATCAATAAATCAGAAAACAGTAAAGATTCCACAAAAGAAACACAATTGAAATTTAAAATTCATAAACTAGAAAAAAAAATCAAATAAATGAGCTCTTTAATAAAGTGTAATTTCATATAACATGTGTGTTGTTTCTATTCTTTTGAATATTGTCATCTGTCATCATTAATAGGTTAAAGAATCTGTGTGTTATTGTTTATGAAGAACAGACACCTAAGTTATTATTTTGACAGTTTAAAAGCAGCGATGCATATGATCATGATATTGTTGTGTGAAAATTGAAACTTTACATAATTATTATTTCTAAAACTATTCTGACCTCCCTGGAGTCAGTGGCTCCAACTACATGTCTGGGAATTGTGGCACACCTTTATACAGGTTAAATAATGGTAAACATGTATTGTTTATTTGTGGACAATCTTTGATCCTCAACAGAATGTTACGTGTACAATGTGTAAAGATCTGTAAACAAGTGCTTTAGATTTGCCTTCAAATTTGAACACTGTTGACCAGTAACAAGAATTACACATAATTACATGTCTCTCCTGTTTTATTAGTGAGATCAATTTAAAACAAAATATAATGAAAAGAAAAATACCCCCTCCCCTCCAAGAAAAAATGGAATAGAATAATTTAAAAAATACGAGTTAAATTTAAACAATATATGTTTATCATCATATGTTTAAAATACTGATGCACTGTAAAACATGGAATGAAACTTTTGTCAATTAATTTCTGATAATTTACCCACATACTGATATGCCATTTTTGTTCCACAAATATGCACAAAAGGTAGAGTAAAACGGATCGGATATGTTACAGTACTTATTTCAAAATGACTATAAACTAAATCTCAAGGGAATAGGAATATAATGATTTCTATAAATCTGAAGTTTTCATCCCAGAAATGCAACACAAAATAACACCTATAATCTAATCTGCTTCAAAGTTTGACAAGAAGAGCAGTTTGATTGTACTTAATTAGAGACTCAGCCAAATGTGGAACATTCCACTTCTCAACGTCCTTTATTTCAGAGTTGCTGGACCATAAAATCTGGACGATATTTTGTAAATGATGGATGTGTTGAGGTGTCTACTTTGTGATTTTGCTATAAACCAAGTTTGGTAAAGTTGGATTTTTTCAGCAATGGATCTAAACACAAAACTTTAATGTGAAATTTTGTAGACATCACTGTCAGCACCAAAAAAGGGACACCTTAATGTCTCTAACTTATCTATTCATTACATGTGAGACAAAAACCTGACAATGCTAAAGATGTCTTAAACTGATTAAATAAGATAGAGTTGTCCAATTTTACTTTTTAGTGAAAAAAAAAATTCTAAATTTATTTTTAAAAATTGTGGAACAAATGGTAGCAAATGATATATTTATGAGGTACGCTTCTTGGCCATGAAAAAGCTTACAAAGGATGGGAAGAGGGCGAGTCATTCTGCTACATTAAATGTTTGTTTCATTGCATCATAAAAAGGGTCATTTTGAGTCTCCTTGTAATAGCTGGTGATTACTTAATTGAACCTCATGCAGGAGGTCCTTCGTATGCTCTCCAAATTATTACTTTTGACTATGAATTAAGAATTCTTCTGATTGGCCTCTTGGTGGAGAGGTTTGTTATAATCAGTATTTATCTTAACAGAGAAGAGCTCTAATTGATTAGGTCAATAAAGGAAACAATTAAAAATTAAACATGTATTAAGATGAATTGAAACATTTTTTCCTGATAGGTACCAATCTGAAATTTTCAATTGACTCAAAAATATAAACATTTATGTTTCACAATAAATTAAGTATGCTAGATATCTTACCTGCTACTTGTTTTAAAAATCAATATCCTGCAATGTTGTCTATTTCATAATCCAACTACAGCATGTTTTAATCCAAGACACCGTGCTTTATATCCAAAACGAGATCAAATTAATAAATGATTGAAATCTTTAAAGTAAGATTTGAATATATCTATTTTGATCTCAACAGATTCATCCAGAAGTTTTGTACCAGCTATCAATGGAATCTCCGAATAGCTCAAACAATCCTACTGACATTCCGGATGTAAAATTTCTGAATCAATATTCCAATTCAAATAGCCAATGGCGACAAACAAAACCCGTCAACAATCCTTTTCACATACTCATTGTCATTAATCTGTCGGAAGTTAAATTAAACACTATTTTAAAATCCTTTAAAAACAAGTCAGATCCACAGAAATCCTCCAAGTTTTTAGAATACTGAAATTATAGCCACAGACAAATTTGACAAATCCATTGTTCTATCTGTTGGAAAACAAACTGGACACTATTTTAACAAATCCTTTTAAAAACAAATTTGATCTATAGAAATCCGTCATGTTTTCAGAGACAAAGCGTCTCTTGTCTTATCTGTCATAACCCTGGAAAAGATTTTTTAAACATCTATCTCAATAAAACCAATAACAGGTCAAGGTACTGCGATATGTATGTCAATCAAATCTCCTTTTATGGAGTTTAATGGTAAAATGAATCCTTCTAATACACCATGCCAATATCATTCTGTATACAATTAAAATAAAAAACAACTCTGATTAACAAGGCATTCCACAGAAATATCAAATTATGGTTAATTGTGAGCAACGGTGTGTATTACTTATTACAGCCACACGCTAGCACCTGGTATAACGTGACCTCTGACCTCTGCTCTATTGTGGTCAAGTCAATCTGTCAGTGATCAAATCACCTCAAATAGTCTTATATCCCCGATTACAATCAGGATTTTATCTAAAGTGTTGTTAGCTTAATCTATAACACTGCTTAACCTATACTTTAATTTAATATTTCAAAATATTACTTTTTTTTTTTTGCATAAAAATGATTATAGCAAGTCACTGGAACTAAAGACATTAAAGTGTATAACAGAATTTCAGAGAAGTTTAAGATTTTTAAAACATTTTTGAAACTTTTTTTTATCTTATTTCATCAAGTAAGACAAACTGTCCAAAGAGATCCAACCTACTTGATAATCAGATATTTGGGCAGCGTGTGATCGGGTCCAAAAAGTAGGATCACCCTAAAAATTGTACCTTTGTGAAGAAAATCTCCCAAATCAAAAACTGTACCTTTGTGAAGAAAATCTCTCAGTTTTTCTTCTGAGAAAAAAAAACAAAAAAAAAAAAAAACAGTTCTTAACTGCTCTTTTATGATATACATCATACCATGAACATGATAAACTTACCACACGTGGCTTTGAAAGCCAAACAGGAGATCACCACGGACATTGGCAAAACACAAGCCATACAGTGGTTCACCAAATACCATCTCCCTGATCAGCTGATTGTGGCGATTCCATATCTAAAGAAAAGTAATTTTTAAAATTCATCCAACTTTATACATTTTGAAGCAGTAGCAACACAAGTAACATAAAATTCTTAATACTTGTTTGCTGATGTAGATATATAGACGAGGTCGATTTGTGAAAGGAACTCACAACACAGAAAACCTACATGATCAGGTACTCAAATGACCCGTTACAATTTGTCTAACTGCGGAATTTAGGTGAAAGGTGAGCATTTTTATCAACCATATCACCTGATGACCTTATGATTACTTTAAATACAAAAAATAAGAAAGTATTATTGTAAATATTATTGAAAGCATCTAGGAAAATGTTTGTTTGTAGGACAGGAATGTCCCACTCTCAAGCATTCATTCTGATGAATTTGCAGAAGTTGTCAAATGCGTACTTTGACCTTTTAACCTTGAAATCTGTTGAAAGGTTTTCATGCTATGACAATGAATCGGAATGAGACGCAGTAGGACGTACACAAGTAACAATATAACTCCTCATTAAATGGTGGAGACAGACAAATCAGAGGTATAAAGATCGTAAAACACCTCAGTATCAAAATAATTTGATGTACTGCCTACCTTGATATAGCCATCTTCTGAGCAGGAAGCAAAGAGTCCCAGTAAAGGACATTTGTCCAGAGAAGTTATCTGTGGAGGGCAGAGAACAGACATTTTCCAAAATTTTACTTCATCTTAGTTTTTTTTCTGTTTTTTTCGTTTTTCTTTTTTTTTTGTTTTGTTTTTCAAATTCTAACGCAAAAGTTTAGATTCACATGCGGACTAAATTTCTAGCTGAAAATTATCATAAAGAACAGCAAAAATCAGACATACAGTGTATTCAATATACAAATACTAGTGTAAAATTTATCATATTTATCTAACAATAAGTCCCCATCCCCGACAACAGGTCATTATCTGTATGTTGGCTTAATGCATGATCAATTCTGGAACAAAAAAAATTTCTGACAACCTGGACTTATTGCAAGAGAAATTCTGGGTCACCTTGACTTATTGCAAGAGGATTTCTGGGTCATCTGAACTTATTGCAAGAGGAATTCTGGGTCAACTAGGCTTATTGCAAGAAATAATTTTGGCCGACTTGACCTATTGCAACAGAAATTCTGGGTCAACTGAAATTATTGCCAAGAAATTTCTTAGTTAACTGAGATTATTGCAAGAGGAATTCTTGGTCATCTTGACTTACTACTTGATAAATGTGTTCTGTCTGCATGAAATAAAACAGCTTCAATTCATTTGCAGAACAGAATTGAAGAAACAAGATAACAAGTATTTATAAGTAATGTCTTTCTACAGATCCAGATGTATACAGAACCTTTTTATCATGGTCTTCATCCTCAGCATGTTCTAGCTGCGTGTACTGGGGCGTCTCATCGCCTTCCACTCGATACATCAACAGCTTCCTGTAACATCAGAAAGAAGATCCTCAAACGTTTTATAACAAGAAAACACCCCACTTTCTCAAAAAAGAACTATGTATGATTACATGTCTCCCATATTCCACTTTTAAACTTTTGCAATTAAACTGCTAAATACACTGGAATTTAAGTTCACAGTAACTCTTCCAAAACAGAAAAAAATAATCAAATCAAAGTGTCATTCAGGAAAACACAACATCATGTCATGATGATTAAGTGTAACAATGGAAGGAGACTTTGGGACAAATAAAGCTTTACAACTGATGGACGAACACCACCACGCCATAATATATTACAGACGTGCCGTTGTTATGTTTAAATAATGATGCATTCAATTATAAAAAATCAGAGGCAAATTTAGAAAATTCATCAATCATCCATTTTCACTGAAATTACAATTTCATCCAAAAAATAGTCTTTTAAAGAAAAGGTGAGAAAAAGCTTGATTAAAAAAAATATATAATTCTGAGTGAAGTAAACAAGCCAATGTATAAAAAGATCTTGACTTCTCAAGTTTTAATCCCAAAAATATACCAAAAAATTGAATTAATTTCATCCATACTGTTGGCTTAGGTGTCTGTACTACCATGTTGCTTTGTCCCATTATTATTTTGAACAGTATCTGTACTTACAAGAAGCACAAATAGAAGTCCAGTTTTCCAGCATCCCTTGTACTTGTTGTGACCGTTACTTGACACATCGTACTCACCCTCGGCGTGTACTTGTTGTGACCATTAGTTGACACTTCATACTCACCCTCGGTGTGTACTTGTTATGACTGTTACTTGACACATCATACTCACCCTCGGTGTGAACTTGATGTGACTATTAGTTGACACTTCATACTCACCCTCGGTGTGTACTTGTTGTGACCATTAGTTGACACTTCATACTCACCCTCGGTGTGTACTTGTTATGACTGTTACTTGACACATCATACTCACCCTCGGTGTGTACTTGATGTGACTGTTAGTTGACACTACATACTCACCCTCGGTGTGTACTTGTTGTGACCATTAGTTGACACTTCATACTCACCCTCGGTGTGTACTTGTTATGACTGTTACTTGACACATCATACTCACCCTCGGTGTGCACTTGATGTGACTATTAGTTGACACTTCATACTCACCCTCGGTGTGTACCTGTTGTGATCGTTAGCTGACACTTCATACTCACCCTCGGCGTGTACTTGTTGTGACTTTTAGTTGACACTTCATACTCACCCTCGGTGTGTACCTGTTGTGACTGTTAGTTGACACTTCATACTCACCCTCGGTGTGTACTTGTTGTGACTGTTAGTTGACACATCATACTCACCCTCGGTGTGTACTTGATGTGACTGTTAGTTGACACTACATACTCACCCACGGTGTGTACTTGTTGTGACCATTAGTTGACACTTCATACTCACCCTCGGTGTGTACTTGATGTGACTATTAGTTGACACTTCATACTCACCCTCGGTGTGTACCTGTTGTGATCGTTAGCTGACACATCATACTCACCCTCGGTGTGTACTTGATGTGACTATTAGTTGACACTTCATACTCACCCTTGGCTTGTACCTATTGTGACTGTATGTTAACACTTCATACTCACCCTCGGTGTGTACCTGTTGTGACCATTAGTTGACACTTCATACTCACCCTTGGCCTGTACCTGTTGTGACTGTTCGTTAACACTTCATACTCACCCTCGGTGTGTACTTGTTGTGACTGTTAGTTGACACATCATACTCACCCTCAGTGTGTACTTGTTGTGACTGTTAGTTGACACTTCATACTCACCCTCGGTGTGTACCTGTTGTGACCATTAGTTGACACTTCATACTCACCCTTGGCCTGTACCTGTTGTGACTGTACGTTAACACTTCATACTCACCCTCGGTGTGTACCTGTTGTGACCATTAGTTGACATTTCATACTCACCCTTGGCCTGTACCTGTTGTGACTGTTCGTTAACACCTCATACTCACCCTCGGTGTGTACTTGTTGTGACCGTTAGTTGACACTGGTCATACTCACCCTCGGCGTGTACTTGTTGTGATTGTCAGTAGACACATAATACTCACCCTCGGCGTGTACCTGTTGTGACTGCTATACTCAAGGTGTTCTCATACATGCTGATATGGTCAGGAATATTACCACAAGGAATCTGAAAAACGTCAATGATGATTTCAAAGTTTTAATTCAAAGATATGATGAACCCAGAGCATCAATATATCATTGGTCTGTCGATATCAGCCCTGGATTATAAAGAATTTTTTTCTGCATTTTTTCATAGCAGAGTGTGGTAATAGTTGGTAGAAAAAAAACAGCATGAAGAAATGATATTAATTTATCCTAATGAGAGGGATTCCTAACTGAGTCTGAAAATATTGGATCAAGTTTGAAAATGGAATGAATTTTTCTACATAAGTCATGCAAAACAGTGATAGAATATGAAAGATGGAGCATTTATTCCAGTCTGATGGTAGTGTGGTAGAATACAAAGGATTTAGTCCAGTCTCATGGTAGTATGTTCGAACACAAAGGATTTAGTCCAGTCTCATGGTAGTGTGGTAGAATACAAAAGATTTAGTCCAGTCTCATGGTAGTGTGATAGAACACAAAGGATTTAGTCCAGTCTGATGGTAGTGTGGTAGAACACAAAGGATTTAGTCCAGTCTCATGATAGTATGTTCGAACACAAAGGATTTAGTCCAGTCTCATGGTAGTGTGGTAGAATACAAAAGATTTAGTCCAGTCTCATGGTAGTGTGGAATGATTCAAAGGATTTAGTCCAGTCTGATGGTAGTGTGATAGAACACAAAGGATTTAGTCCAGTCTCATGGTAGTGTGGTAAAACACAAAGGATTTAGTCCAGTCTGATGGTAGTGTGGTAGAACACAAAGGATTTAGTCCAGTCTCATGGTAGTGTGGTAGAACACAAAGGATTTAGTCCAGTCTGATGGTAGTGTGATAGAACACAAAGGATTTAGTCCAGTCTCATGGTAGTGTGGTAGACTACAAAGGATTTAGTCCAGTCTCATGGTAGTGTGGTAGAACACAAAGGATTTAGTCCAGTCTCATGGTAGTGTGGTAGACTACAAAGGATTTAGTCCAGTCTCATGGTAGTGTGGTAGACTACAAAGGATTTAGTCCAGTCTCATGGAAGTGTGGTAGACTACAAAGGATTTAGTCCAGTCTCATGGTAGTGTGGTAGAACACAAAGGATTTAGTCTAGTCTCATGGTAGTGTGGTAGACTACAAAGGATTTAGTCCAGTCTCATGGTAGTGTGGTAGACTACAAAGGATTTAGTCCAGTCTCATGGTAGTGTGGTAGACTACAAAGGATTTAGTCCAGTCTCATGGTAGTGTGATAGAACACAAAGGATTTAGTCCAGTCTCATGGTAGTGTGGTAGACTACAAAGGATTTAGTCCAGTCTCATGGTAGTGCAGAATGATACAAAGGATTTAGTCCAGTCTGATGGTAGTGTGATAGAACACAAAGGATTTAGTCCAGTCTCATGGTAGTGCAGAATGATACAAAGGATTTAGTCCAGACTGATGGTAGTGTGTTAGAATATGAAAAGTTACCTCGAGAATGGGTTCCAATGAGATATAGTCACTTCTCCTGCCAGCTGATACCTTGATCTTCCACAGCTTTACAAAGTTATCATTGCCACCAGTAACAAGAGTTTTGCTGGTCTCTGACAACTGGTAGCCAGTAGGGTCTATCTCTGTGACACTCTCCATACAGGTTACCATTCCCTTGTGTACCTGGACACTCAGTACCATCTCACAATGATTGGCATCCAATAACGACAGCTGTACAATTATAAATTATAATTCTATGGTACTTTTGAAATATAAAAAAAAATCAAAGAGTTAATCAAGAAATCTAAGAATTGTAGCTACGATTTTATCCATCACATTTAGTAGCCTTACATCTTACCACCCAGGAAACATCCATAGAATCACTTTTAAATGTACATCATGATTATTTAGGAATCTATGACCTCTGACCCTTTAACCTGGTCTGATCTTGATCATCTTAATATTACAAGGTGAAGAACCTGTTGCTTTGATACTTAAGGGTAAATATATAGGGAATGCCACTTGAAATGGTACCAATGAAGGCAAAATTATATGCCATGCATAAAATGGCAAGACATAAAAAATTCCAATAATTAGATGTAACAGATGGCCTTAAGACTGAATGGAGGTATCGATATTAAGACTAGGATAAGAAATGTACTTTGTGAGATTAGTATATTGCTGCATGTTACTGACCTGGCCATTTTCCTGACCACCGAATATGACAATGTCTGTCAGCTGTTCACCATTCTGACCAGTGTAGCTCTGTTAATGGAAAAATTAACAAGTGTTCAGGACATTTGTTTAGTTGAACAAACTCTTTGGAGCCTACAGAAGTCAATTCACCTAATAAACACAATGTTGTCATTTTGGAGTACAAGATGTGGTTCATTGTACACTTAAACTTCTTAGATGTAAAGTCATTGACAGCTTACAAACCTTGGATGTAATGTAATTACGTTTGCTTAAGATTTTTTTTCAGCCTGAATTCTCCACACTAATTATGGTAAGCTCGTTTACAAGTTATTTTAGGGATTCCATTTCTTCCCATTTTTTAGGGTGTAACAAAAACAAATAAAAAAAAATACCAGGAAAACTAAAGAATTAGCGAAATAAATCAATTCATCACTTCTGTGAAAATATGTCCCTTTTGTTTTAAAATTTTGGTTAAAACCACAACAATATCCAAAGAACTTTTACAGAAAGACTCACCAGTTCCACCTGTAACAGCTGCGTTATCTTTTCATCAGTAAATCCTGACTGCCAAACTTCCACTGCCTTACAAGGGTTGGAACGGCAATTGAACACAATCACTGAAATATTGAATGGTAAAACAGAAAAAAGGTACAAGATATACACTTTTGTTTAGGGATCAATGAAATAAAGTATTAGTGCTGAAGTTGTGCTGAAGCGTATTTAAAACAAGCATATCAATATATGAACACAAAATTTTAATAAAGGGCAATCATTCTGTAATTCATAGGTTGCAGGTCCCCGAATTTAGTATACTGCATATTCTCTTCGCATAAACAATGTATACTACAACTTTCATGATTCTAGTATCAAGAAAAACTATGCCCATGACGCAAAAGTTTAACAAAGGACAATAATGGTGTAATTAAGGAGTTGAGGCTGTAATATTGGTACATTGCCTTTTTATGATCAATGTATACACCAAGTTTCATAATCATAGGCTGAATACAAGCAAAGTTATGCTCCAGTCATGAAATTTCAACAAAGGGCAATAACTCTGAGGGGTTGAGGATGCTGATGGTGATCCACTGCACATCCCTTTAGTATGATCCCAAGTATACACCATGTTTCATGATCCTTGCTTAACAGTGGGCTTTTTGTTTTTTCTGCTTCAGACTAAAGGAAAGATGGACAAAAATTTGGGGGGAACATAACAAAAATTAAATTTACAGAAATAGATCTTTTATCACAGCTGTATTGTCCAAACATAATGACTCGACATCCAGTAAGATTAAAATTCAGTCGAAAAAGTATAAATTACATCATTTTATTATTTTTCAGATAAGTAACAATCAAGACTGGTAAACCTTAATATCACCTGAAATCTGAAAACCAGCATCAGATATCTGGGTTGCTTTCATTTTCTCTATGAAAATATTCGACTCACCTTCCCCATTCTCTAAAACAGTGTGCAGTCTATCCTTCTCTCTATTATAGGCAAAAGACGTTAGAATCTGAGAAAAATTAACAAAAATCATATTTTATAATTACATAATATACATTTTTAAGATGTAAATATCAACATTCAAGTTATAAATATCAACATCAAAGATGAATACTTTAAGGTCAAGGTCACTTACCTGGAAGGATGGCATGGGATAGATTAAGGTCAAGGCCACTCCAGTAAGTGGTGAGAACAGACGTACTGAGCCATCCTGCAAACAAAGTCAAAAAATAAGGTCAAGGTTGATCTAAAACGATGTAGATTACATAGAAAATATGTGACATTTCAGTGTACATGTAATTTAAACTAGAAAATGTCTATAAGATACAAATGCTCCCTCTGCCAAGGCCTTGACCTTGGACCCCTGAAACACAAGAATGTCCAAAGTATAATCACACTTGATCTTTGCATAAAATACGACCAAATTATATAAAAGAATGAAGTTGTTAAGTGTTAAAATTGAATCAGTTGATCATTTTTTAAAAATGGCCTTGACCTTTGGGACCCTAAAAAACCACTCATAATTGATATTTGTATAAATATTGACCAAATTCCATAAAACAATGAAGTGCTAAGTGAACCAGTTGATAATTTTCTATATATCACAAGCGTGATTTTAGCCCCTGAATTACAACCAAGTCCAAAGTATACCCATAACTGCCGTTTTTATATGGTTCACCATAATCTGTCAAATAATTAAGTCACTAGGTGCTACCATTGAATTGAGACAGAACAGGATGAGACAGACCTGGGCAATGCTATATGCCCCCTCAATGAAATACACAAACAATAAGGCAGTGCCATTCACAAAAAAAATACACAAACGTTACAACTGTGCCATTAGACCAACAATGAAATGTCTTGATCCTTTTTTCAATAATTCTTTTTTTTTTTACACATTCCATTGATGAAATAATGCTCATTAGGACAGAATATGCCATTAGATCAACAAGGAAAAGACTTACCCCTTTTTTTAATATTTTTTTTTACGTTCGACTGATGAAGCAGTATTAGCAGTATACCTCAGTAGAAGCGATGATCCGGTTGGCTAATCCATGACGACGTTTCCCTGGACACAGACAAAGTTTCCTCACTGTCGACTCAACTGGGGCAAACAGGTGATAGAACTGAAATCCAGTATCAATATATTTTTACAAAAGTGTTTAACTCAATAGAGTATGGTCATTCAACATAACAATGTTTAGTTCTCAAACTTCATAATATATTTATCCACATAAAAATCTAGTTTTTAAACAGAAAAAACAATTTTAAATTTGATAACACTCTTTTAGACATGTTATCTTACTTTGCACATGATAGCAGCATACATATTTGGAAAAAAAAATAGTTATAAAAAAATCACATAGATTAAAATAACAAGGAAAATCTCATATGTTTGACTTTAAACAAGAACAAGTCATTTTGGTGCCTCATATAGTTCACTTCCGGGTCGAAACAACGGAAAAAATGTTTCAACTTTTAATGTCACATTCTGTTTGTTATCACTATTCTCCAGACAAATAAGACTTGATATTAAATGGTTTTTCACTGTATTGATACAGCACTGTAACATTTAGATGTTGCTAAGAAAGACTGTGAATCCATCTTCAATACTGCAGGTTTTACCTGTATATTAGATAAATGAAAACATGGTTAAGATATAAGAAATTAATTTATACCTGATTAAGACCAAAAACTTTTATTTCTTTCTCTGTCTGGCAGAAGAACTGTTCGTCTGATAGGAGTTTCAAGTTAAATATTTTCTCTGATAAATCAAACCCCATCAACTGTAAAAATATCAATTAGAAATTGTTAATTAGTAATCATAATATCAATAAATGAAAATCAAATGCTGTAACAGTTTGTGTTTCTAAATTTTCAAGATTCAAAAGAGATATGTTATTTAGTTAGCACTCAATCTGAAACACAAAATAAACTATTGTGTTTTTGTATTTTCAAGGCATATTTTTTCAGTTTTATTCTGTCTTCCAAAAAAGCTAACAGAACCATTCGATAAGTAACAGTTTGTAGTTGAAACAAGATGCCAAAAAGGTCTGTATTGCCCACCTGGTATATTTTCAATAATTTTCACTAAAACAATCATTTGCCATCACTGACATACAGCTATAAGCCTACCAACCAATTATCATGATTCTAGGCCTTTCAGTAAATCACAAGATTTTGTTTGATGATTTAACCAATTCTATCCCTGCGACCTTGAATATAGGTTAAGGTCATTTCTTTTCACAAACTTTGTTGGGATTTATTTTAACAATTTTTGTACCCCCTGTGATCTTGAATATGTGTCCAGCCAAATGTCAGGATTCTACATATTTTGATTATTGAGGAGATTCTAGGCCTTTTAGTTTATCAGAACAAGCTGTCTCAATGTTTCAACTAATTTAACCCCTGTGATCTTAAATAAGGATCAAGGTAATTTATTTTCACAAAGTTTAGTGGTGTCATCCCAGGGATCTACCAGCAAAAGATGACTTCTTTGTTATTGAGAAGACATCGTTGAAAACTGTAAAAGTTGATAACAGACATATGGACGAAGAACACCACACCTTGGCAGAAGTTCACCTAGCACTTTGCGCATGTGAACTAAATACTTTATTTATAATTAACATGTACAATATGATACCTTCTTAATAACAATATACCTACTTTAGAAAAATTATCCATTCTCCAAATCTGAACACTGCCATCTAATGAAGAGGAAAACAGTAAGGGGTCTGTCTTATGGACAGCTAGACCTGTTAAAAAAGGCAAAAACTTGAACGAAGTGAAACAAACCCAAAATAATTTATTGTTGAAGAAAACATCTGCAGTTAAGATAAATTTTCATCCGACAAATTTGAAAAGAAGAATAAGTCAAGTTAAATCAAATTCTGAAGTATTTTTACAGATTTTACACAAACATGAGTCTATATAGAATTACATACCTGTAATGGCAGCATTGTGACCATAAAAGGCATGTACTTGAGTAAATACTACAGCATTCCACACCTACAACAGTCAATTATAATCGTTCTTGAATTATAAACATTATTTCATATAATCATCACATTAAACCAGCAGATTTATTAAGGAAACTTAGAAAAGTAGGGGAGACAACTCACCTTCACTGTACCATCGCCTCCTCCTGTGATGAAATACTCTCTCTGTTTGTAGAATGAGCAACTGAAAAAATATATGCAGATAAAAAAATAATTATCATAACAATTAGCTCTTCTACAAGCATAATTTGAGTATTTCACCTACATATCTAGTGTACTGTAAGTGTGAAAATGCTACATGTAAAGGACAATATATAGTATAGTAATACTTTCATAGAAACTTTAATCTCGTCAATAATCTGTTTGTTCCACAAATCATTTCGTCCAAACTAGCCTGTTTGTTCCTGCCAGTGCTGATCAAGTTATCTTAATATTTATTTTTCACTTATTTCATTGCCCTTATTTCCAGCAATACCTATTTTTTTCTCTCTGTTCCATCACCTTCAGTTTCAACTTCGTACAACTTTCCAGCCACCATTTAAACTGTGGTCTCACAATCCACACTATCTTTAAACCAACTTCATTCTATGTGTTCCACTTTCCAGTAACTACTCATCTGTATTTCCCAATATCCAGCTACCACTAATCTGTTAGTCCCATTATCCCACCACCACCGCCACTAATTCATTTGCCCTACAATCTACAGTCAATCTGTTTGTCTTCTATCCAGTACTTTTACTTACCATTTCAGAGACCCCTCATGCCTGTTTTGGAGGTGGTGAGTTTGTTTCTGTGTCTACAAATTAAAAACACAAAAACTTGTAGTTTTAACAGATAAGCCGAAGAGTCATGTGACCAAGATTTCTTTCTGGGTATGAAATAAATGTCAGTTGTTCTTCTCTTGTTTTTTTTTTTATTGTTTCATTACATTTGTTTGTGTTATTCTATATTAAGCAATATCAAAAGACTTGAGAAATACTTTCTGCTATTTAGAGAATAATATACATCCCAGACATAGAGGATAGGGAGTCCTTGTATCAAAGAAACAAGGTTTACATTAATATCTTAAGGAGCAGGAAATTCTAACATTGTGAGAGCAAGACTTTTAGAAGTATTTTCAGGAGCAAAATTTAAGCCTCATCAAAGAGAAACTCCTTCCACACATTTGATACCAGGCCACTATTGCTCAAAGCTTGATTAGAGATAACAGTGGTTTCCATGTCAAAAGCAATATTGACACTCAAAATTATGACTTGTCTCAAAATAAAACAATATTCCCGGTTTTGTTAATCCATACTTGAAACTTTTTTTACCAAACTACATGTTATATTTAATCAATTTTTGGGCAAATTGGCACAAAGGTTTAGCTTAATTCATAATTTGATTTGTCTGCTGAAGTGATGGTGGACAGAGGAGGGAAATGAATTTAAATTGTATAAACCTCATGACACTGAAGAATATCTCTGGTAATACTTACCTCGTAGTTGATGACAAATATATTGTGGTAGGTCAGAATGAGTATCTGTGTGTTCCTTGTGTCCACTTTGATATCAATCACCCACTGAAATATCAATCATCAATTTTACAGTGTGTCCTTTTTCACTAAATACACGTTAGAAATTTAGAGACAGAAGCCAATTATTTTGAAATTCCTTCAGCAGATAATTGTTGTTTTTTTATACAAGACCTGTTAAAGTGAAAACACTCATTTTGGAAACTGCTGTGGAATGATAGATGTGGAGATAATAAAGTTTCTTAGGTATAACATGCAAGCAATTTACCAAGTAAATATGGGAGATAATCACATCCTCAACTCTTCACATCATTCACACTGGAAGTTAGCATATACCCTTAACTCTTTCAACAAATCAAAGTGTCAGGTAACTTATAACCTTAATTACATTACTTAATGACATTGACAGTGTAGAGTGTTACATGGTATTTATACTTTAACTATACACACCTCGTCTGGTCCAATGTCTGTCTCAAATTCTAGCACCCGACTCACAGTGGCTGCATGCTGAAAATGTTACAGAAGCTAGGTTTGAAACAAAAACTTAACAAATATTTATCTGATATTTTTCTCTCTTGATTAAAACCATCTCTATTGCTTGCCTTTAGATAAACATAACGCTGTCAGCTCTGTTCACTCAAAATATCTGAAAACCTACAGGGATAAAGCAAAACCCAGAATTTTTCTCTTTGATCAAATTATGAGAGTGAAAATGTGACCTTAACAACTGACACAAATCTTATGACTTTAGAAATTTCATCAAAGTGTGTTACTGAAAATTGGTATCACCTAGATCACAAACATATCTTAACCTATATCTTATTTAATTTGTTTTGCTACAGTCTTGAAGATGACTTCTAACCTCTGATCCGGTGACCTTCCACTTTTCCAGTTTGCCAACTCTTCCCAAGTAGACCTCATCCATTTCTCGGTTGTATGCCATGCTACAATAGGAAAGGTCAAGGTCATAAGTAAAACTTAAAATTGTGATTCTTTATATTTGAATGTATACATTGAATTCATGAATTTAAAAAGAAAATGAAAAACTAATCAACACATGCCTTTGAAAATTATCTTAATGGAATTTTGTAAACATCGCAAAAATTTCATGTGAATTTTTTAAAGGCACATGCCTAAAATAGATCAAACAAGCATTTCTCAATGAGTTAACTAAGCAAGGGGAGATTACTCTTACACTAATAAGGAACAGGTATAATAATGACGTCAACAACTGAAGTTACCTGAGAACAGTGGAAGATAAAGAAACAAAGCCTTTTTCTTGACATTGACTACTGGCATCGGTGAAAACATGTAGTTCCAGTTTGGATGAAAAGCCAAGGTACACCTACAAATGAGAAATATATTCTTATGTATAATCAGAGACTTTGGTCTAAATAAAAATATCTCAATAAGACAAGATACATAGCCAGTGAACACTAAATAATGAAGAAAAGAGTAAAACCTATATCTATGTCCTCCTCCCCTCCATTGACCAGAATAGTATATGAACCACAAATGAAAATGTATTTGAAAAACCAATCTAATTGTTCTTTTGGATAATAGATTCTATACATAATATTGAAATTCAATTACACATTCATGTTTTATTTTGAAAAAATTTTCCCGTCGGTCCTCATTTCACAGATTACCAGGTATGAGCTAGTTTCCTGATGTTGATATATAATCTCTTTCATTACAGTGAATCAACTCAATGATCAATCTTACCCTATGTTTACTAACATACATCAGGGACGTTAGTTCACTGTGGATTTCAAATCTGAAAACACAACGGTAATTATTATATTAATTATAACTTGAAAGATCTATGGTATTTGTTTTTAAATTATCATGTTGTGAATGTCTTGTACATACATTGTATAAAGACAGAATGCACCAAAAGTGGATAGTAGTAACATTTTAAGACCTTGCAATCATATGTTAGTTACAGGATGTTCCATTCTTTGGTTTCTAGAGCATAATTTGTAATGTTTTTGTTAGCAAAACCCAAGTAATCACTGGAAAAACCATGAAATAAAAAGGATAAGATAATTTTTCCTGATTGGTTTCAAAGCCAAGGATACTTCAGACATTTGTTTAATGGCTGGCTTAATAAGACATTTCAACTGCAAACAAATTATACAGAAATGATATGACTAATTATCAATTAAATCTTCATTTTAATGAGTTACTGTATATGGGAGCGATTACATACACTATTAGAATCAAGCTATTTTTAGCAACTGAGATAATTCTGTATCATATTGATAAACTGAAAAATTTCAGGGAGTAGAATGACTTTTAATGGGTGTAATTATGGGAAAGGAGGGTGAGAAAATTTTCAATTTTGGTTTGGTCAATTCAGAGAATTTGAAAGAAAAAAGTCAAATCTTAAGGTATACATGAAATCTCTAGTCAGTAACATTGGTCAAAAACTGCATGGTTAGAGCAAATACATTTTTACAAAATTTTAGCAAATTATAATCTTCCAATGCCACACTGCTTCATCAAGGTAAACCCATACCTCAAGTATAAAGTTCCGGTGACATGCAGCATAGAAGATATAGCCTGGAAAAATTATTCTTTTATATAGGTCAAAAGTCAAAATGCAAGTATGATTGACCTACTTTTGATAAACCACCAAAGAAAACCCAGACCTCAAGTATGAAGGCCAAATTGCAAAGCTTCATTGAAATATTATGTTGAAGTTTAAATAATTTTTGCACAATTCCTGGATCTGCAGTTTAAACCAGAATCTTGTCAGATGTAGAGCTTGATGTTTTTATATTATGGGGTAAAATACCCATCAAAATCAGCTGAAAGACTATCAAGATGCGATGTGACAATAACACTATATCCACACCCCAGCCAAGACTAATAAGCAGTCAGGCTTAGAAAACATAAACTGGAGTCTTGTATACCTTTGCTGAGTAATTGATGAATCTCTGTCATTGGAATCCATTGTCCACACACTTAACTGATCTTTTGTGCCAAAACAATAGTGTGCAACAAATATGTCACCGCTACTCGATGGAAAATGAGTCATACATTTGATGTTCCCTGGGTGTCGCATTTTATGGTAAATCTTGAAATTAAAAACAAACAAACAAACTTTAGATATGTGCATTTTGTAGAGTGCAAATACAGTGTCATGTAATTGATGGAAAAGTAAAGAACTAAAAACTGTTTTAAAGGAACCCTTTCTTTGTGGGTCATATTGATCATTTTATGTAGACATACAAATATTGTAAAAATTTGTCAACCAGTCATAAGTGTTGAAGTGTTTGAAACAACTACAAAAGATTGTACAATGTGCCTACCAGGTGAAAGAATAAGTTTTGTTGTGTTCCATGATCATTACCACTGTCTCAAAAAAGTGTTGGTAACAGGAGATTTCCTCACATTTCTTCTCCAAAACAAATGCAGAAAAATTCAATATGCTCATCCCCTCAATAGTTGCCTGTAAACAATGCCCATGCAGCCCCTTACCTCGAGTCAGATGTCTTAATATAACTAAATGTTGCCTTCTGGGTATATAAGTAATTACTGGATTGTCTCCCCTTGATAACTGTATCAGTTCAGAATCTTTCCCTTAATACTTATCTTTGGATCATAAATATTAGTGATGAATTCTTAACTATTTCACCAGGGGCTTGTACTTTTGGATTGTTTCCCCTTGATAACTGTATCAGTTCAAAATCTTTCCCTTAATACTTATCTTTGGATCATGAATATTAGTGATGAATTCTTGTCTATTTCACCAGGGGCTTGTACTTTTGGATTATCTCCCCTGAACTGCTGTACCAGATAGGAATGTTTTTCTCTACACCTACCTGTGGGCCATGATTGAGAGTAATGTTCTGGTCCATTTTGTCAGGGGCCTGTAGTTTCTGTATTATCTCCTCCTGGACACTGCCCCATTTCTTCAGTTTGTCCCACTTGGCCCCATCCATATTCTCGGTCACCATTTTTTCACCTTAGCCACCGTCCACACAATTAACAGAACAACACAGCTGGAATTGAAATTTAAAATTGAGTTACACAGCCAACATAGCCCTGATATAGTTAACACATTTTAAAACTGGAATTGATTTTAATGTTTATCGGGAAATGCCCTCTAGTACAATATTCACATTCAATCACAGGTAAAGTACATACTCCAGGTTAATATTGCACTCAGTGTTTAATTGCTATAAATTATTACATTATAAATTATATTGTGAAACAAACACTTCCCTGTCCATTGTAAATTTTTTTTTTCAAGAAGTAAAAAAAAAGACAGGAACTTGACAGTTGTGATGTAATGCTATAATACTATTCATTAATATCAAAACAGGTTTAAAACCATCACAACAATGCATAATTGAAGTTTGGACATACAACTTGGGAAATGTAATCAATTAAAGAATTCTCAATTAGTAAATATAATTAAAAAGTATAAAACTTTTCAAGTTGATATCTTCATCCAATCATAAACAAAGGAAAAATGTAAATTAACATGACCTCACACATATAAAGGACTTAAAGCTGAGAATTAAATATTACATACCAAGCACATTATAAAATTTACAAAATTTGAATTGCTAAATTTTCAAAGTGCATGAGATAAGGAATTAAAAGTTTAATAAGTAATAATTGAATGTTTCAATGCAATGAATTGTATCAAAACTTTGCATACAGGTATCTACTGAATATGTTTATATATATATATATATATATATAATATATAATCAATGAAGTAATATTGACAGTTCAGACCTGCGAATTGTCAAATATTCGAGGCAACCTGCCCCTTATTTAGCTAGGATGACCCATAATGCCACTATATTTCCAATTTTGTCCATGTACAAATTATTACTCACAAGAAAATAATTCATTCCACAAAATCATATACATAATATGCCTATCATATGAAAGGCTGTATATAATATAACATACAGCCTTGATCATCTGTATCAATAATCATATCATCAAATTGAAAGATTTCATAATCAATTTTTTCAGTGTGATCATAAATGGCATTCAATAGGCTAAATACACTACTGGTTAACAGTAATAACACTAAGTACTTAACATGCTGTTTTATATATAATATTATACCTTGTTGGCTGGTCGTGTAAAAATCCCACTGATAATTCATATCCATAGGATTCACAGTGTTAATATGTTGAAATAACATCACTTTTAAAACAACAAGACAATGCCATTTTGAACTATTCTATATAAAGAACAGTAAAATTCTTGAGGAATAAATTAATCTTGATTAATATAAAACCCTACAATACAAGCAAAGTATTAAAAGACTAATCCGTAAAATCAATCCCCAGTATACACAAAAAATTTACTCATTAATCCTCAAGTGCTAGCTAAGTGCATTGTATTTATTTTCAATTTGATAAACATTGACCATTTATCCCACTGACAAAATTCCACGTAATTCAAATTCTGAAGTAACGTTAAATTGTAATGGAAGAGCGACCATGGAAAAGACAAGTATCAAGTGCATGCATAATGTACTTTGTTACATGTTATTATAGTACAACACTAATCTGCTAACCTGAACGGATAATACCTACAACAGCTATATAGCCTTCGCAATAAATCTGAAATGGCAATACGTTATTTAGTTAGTGCCTCGGGGTGTAGGATGATCTCTAACTAAATCGTGTTTAAATTCGTATTTTAAATAGTTCGACACTTTAAACAGGAGAATACACGAAAGCACTGAAAACAATGTTTTAAAGATATTATTTGTTTATTTTACAGATAAACATCACCATGTTACGTAAGGCATGATCGAGGATACTCAATGCTATCGTACTTTTTTCATTCAGAGAAAATGTAGGCCTACACTTATGAGTGCAAAACGTCTTCCATATTTACAGAAGCAAATAACCTTAAATACATACTGTTACATTTCTGCTCAGGTTTTACCAATCCAAGTCAAAAATCTATCACGGACCATCTTTCAGACAGATGGCGGGAGATGTAAACAAAGATGACGTCACTGAATTGTATACCACGTGACTTCTAAATCACCATGGTCACGCGCTTCGTCAATATGTGAAGAGGAGTTTAGAAGTGATGCGGAAATGTGCAGGGTAAAGCGATATCGTTAATGATATTTCGAGAATATATTTATGTACGCGTACAAATATACTAATGGGTATTTCACTTTAAATTGTGCACCAATATAAGTCAGACTGCCATGTGTTGTTAATTTAAACGATCCGACACAAACTCTGAAGCTTTACTAAAACTTTTCCGACTCGTGGTCGGTCAATTTTAATAAAGGGTCGATCAAGGCGGACTCTACTGTTGATGAATGGAGCAGATTCTTGAAATACTGGTGAAGAAATTAAAATAAAATGATAGATCTTCTTTCAGGATCGTAGCAAAGAACATGAAATAAACTTGGAGGTCTGCTTAAATCAGAGACGGATATATACGTCTCTGGCTGAAATAAAAGTAAGATTTTACTACTGTGTTTAATTAAGTAAGAGAGATTGTAAGGTTACACTGAAATCCGAATCGGGAACACATTTATGTGATGCTGTTGCTTTTAAGTGACATAAAATAACACTGCAACAATAGGAACAATACATTGTAAAACTGTAAACTGTTTCATTTTGATAGGTCATATTTCTTGGTACAGTTGGTTAAGGTTTCTGCACTTTTTTTTCGTGAAAATTCCCGCAAAGTTGGAATTTCCACTGATGATAGACAAAGCTCCGGGACAATCTTAATCATGTTTTTGTGATAAGAAAATTCTCAAAATTATAGAGAAAAAGATGGACCTTAACCAAATTAAACCTTGTCTTGCATCTTATTATATAAATGCATGCAAAGATAAAATTCAACATCCCCATGAATCTATCTAACGAGTAGGCTATGATGGAATGACTGTTGAAAAAAATCCAGCACAGGCCAAAACAGAAGGTATTGGGCCCAGTTTCTTTATAATTCATGCACATATCTGATATTTTTACCTTGGTGGTTTGAATGATATTAAAAACGCAGAGAGAATAATTAGCATACCACTCTTCATTTGTTAACAGAATTAAACATTGTTCTTGGCAGTTCTCAGTTAAAACAGATACGTCCCTGGTTAAAATGAACTAAAGATAAAGACAGTATTTAATTTGTAGAATTGTGGTGTTATAAAAAAATATGTTAACAAATAAAGAGATAACTAGATGAGAAATCACAAGGGTAGTGGTAAAGATTATACAAAAAACACGAATGAATATACATTTCAACACCAATTCATCATTAAATAAATTAGCCAAGCAAATTAACTGAACTGCATTATACAGCTGCTTCTTCTTTCTATGACTCATGATGCCAAGGACCTAATTTTTGAAACCTAGGAGATAACTTGTGGAAATCAAAATTGATAGAAAGAAATCCAAAATCTAAACGAGGTCAATAGTCCCATGTAGTTCAATAAATGTTGCAAACAACTGTGCCACTGTATTAGTTACAGCCAACCATGGGGACTAGAAGCCCACCAGCAGGGTTTACCATTCAGCGTAAGCCTTTTCGCTCCTTTGGACTTACAAAGAAATGTTGCTGGCCCTGTCAAGTGTCTAACTTGGTACAAAATTTTATGCCCCTGGATCGAAAGATAGTGGGCATATCGTGTTTGTTCTGTCTATTTGTCCGTCATCTTTAACCTTGAATGTAACTTTTGTACATTAAGAGGTAGGGCTTTCATATTTGTGGTACAGTTCCTTGAGGGACAGCAGTGATGGCAGTCAAAGGTTTGGAGGTACTACACTATACAAAAACTCTATAGTCAACCTCAATAGTTTCTCTCTATTCACATACTGCTTTAAATTGTAGAGGGATGAACTACATTGAAGGCTAAATTCACGTATGTACATGTAAATGATATCGTGTGTAATCTACTCGTTAAAACTTCAATACACAAAGAAATGGATAGTGGGATTTACAGGTGTTTCCCGTTGGTAAGAAATGAACAAGAAGTGTTCATGTTGGTAATTATATTGTTCCTAAGGAGTCGCAGCATAATTTTTGGTTGAAATTTTTATTCAGAAGAAATAATGATATGATCTTCAAGATGGTTGCCCTGTTGAATGTGACACTCGGGTCCAATTTTCTGTCATAACAGGAGTCCTTTCTCCATACAACTACACCCATTCTGAAGTAGCATAACAAGGCAGCCATCTTCAAAGCAACACAGTCTGAATGAATTTCAGTTAGGACCATCTGTGGTGGCCATCTTGGTTATCATGAATGTATTTTTAGTGGAAGTCATGAAATGGACTATTGTTGATGATATTATAAGTGTATTTTTACCATCCTCGATACACCAGGGGTTACGATTCACATCTGCATTTCTGGAACATTTCATAGCAGAATGTGGGACAATTTGTAGCTAAGATGAGAAATCAAATTTGATCCTTTGATGTACAACAAATGAATCTCTAGGTTGCATAACATTATGTTGTACTAGATTTAAAGTTGAGCGTTGCTCCTTTGTAATCTTCAATGGAACGTATCTGTCAGCGATTGGTCAGTTTTCTCCTGAAACCCTATCTAGACCAACCAAATCTCAATTTTAGCATGAAATGTTCCAGGTGTGGAGACAGCAACAGTGAGTGCAACCCCTGGATTATCGAGGATGCGTATCTATTTTTCACACTTTTGCCATCGCAAATAGCAACTTTAACAAATGGAAGTTGCTTCTCATACAGGAAATAACTAAAACATGTTAATTGTAAGATTTTATTCATTATTTAGAGCCATTGATGTCAACATTTTATTTATTAGATGCTGACATTGTTCAGCATGTTCACTGCTCAAACTAAATATTTACAACATGTTTCATAGGGGACCTGTTTCCGAGGATAAAAAACATAGCAATGTATTTTACCTACAGTAAAACACAACATCATGAACAAATCATATTGATAACTGCAAATTTATATAGATATTTTCACACAATAGTTCACCTTGTGTGAGCTAATAGCAAATTTATATAGATATTTTCACAATAGTTCACCTTGTGTGAGCTAATAGCAAATTTATATAGATATTTTCACAATAGTTCACCTTGTGCGAGCTTATAGCAAATTTATATTGAAATAATCACACAATAGTTCACCTTGTGTGAGCTAAAAGCAAATTAATATTGATATTTTCACACAATAGTTCACCATGTGTGAGCTGTCCCCAACACCAGATGGTAGACATTTTCTGTCGTATCAAAATGTCTCGTATCTGGTGTTTGAGTTAGAGGAATCAAGGACTACAGTTCTCTTGTTACAATAAGCATTATTGTATTTATCCTGTAATATAGGCCACTGATGACAATGAATTACTTCTGACTCAAATTAAGGAGACTGACTTATTTTGCTGAAAAATTACAATCCATCATTCTATCAGATGAGGTTAAACTATTAGATAATCAGTAACATTCAGTCATCAACCTATCAATAGTGTTCAGTGGTATTACAGATATTGTTTCACGGTTCTGCAATAAGCCCACCCTCCTCCCAATTTTGAGTCAAATGTTGGCACCTTTACCTTATTTCACAAAAAGTAGAATTAGTTACAAATGTTATTATTTCACTGTCCTAAGAGAAAGCCCATCCCCTCGACATTGATTCAGAATTCATATGTTGGCATCATGGTCATATTTCAATATAAATACAGTACATAATACGTACGTAAAAAACATGAAACCAAAAGATGAAGATTAAAACTTGACTGAGGACTTTGAGATCCTGAACAGTAACTTAACAGTGTACATCATGGCTACCAATATATACTGGTATATATCATACAGTTCAGATGGTTGACTTGACCATATGATCTAAAATACATCATTTACACTGTTGTAATTTCCATCACAGCAAACATTTTAACGCACCAGACTCATTACCATTCCTAGATACATCGACTCATTCAACTTACAATTTTCTTATTCCTTTCAGGTAAACAAACCTGTAACTTTTACTGATACACAAAGCACTATTACCTAAGCACACTCACTTAATAATCCTGCATTTCATGCCAGTATTCTGAATCTCACAATATTATGTCAACACAGAAGTGATTACCAATACAATAAATCAATAGACCCCTCAATCTGACAGCCAATCTAATTTGTCCAATCCCGGTCTTTTTGTAATGCAGAGTTATCTGCTCTTGCCAGGTGTCGATAGTAATGTCATTAGCATTAATATTACAAATACCATAACAATCAGTATCTGCTCACTAAAGATTCTAAAACTTTTTATTTTGTCTGCAAACTCTTTCAAAATAATCTTACATTCATTGTAGCATTGATGATATCATATCATATAATAAATATTATTGAAATATCCTTCATGACATAACAAATTGGGATGACTAAGCATTGGACTGTTATGGCATTTATGGGTGTTATAAATGCCAGCTGTATGGCATTTATGGTCATTTTGAATGGCTTTGCAGTCAAACATCACATTGAAGGAAATATGATTTTATGTACAGTACATCATATTTATCACTACATTATACTTTTACTCATTCAAGCATATTTCCATTTCAAGTTTACACATATACTAGTTCATTTAATTCATTAACAAAAAAGCTAACATAACTTTTAATTTACATCATTTTTACACATGTAAGTGTAAGGTCACACAAGCTCTCAACAAAGTTACAAACAAAACTGATATCACTTTTATACATACCTATATCACATCACATTGACACATACCAATCTACATCACTCAACTTTTGAAGTTGTGGTTATTTGTACACAAATTAAAAGAACGCATTGAGTCAGAAAAAACACAGGCTCTACTTAGACTTTATCTGGCACTGTTTCTTTCCAGACTTCAGTAATATATAAACACCAATATTATCCTGATTTTCAGACCATTGAGGAATTGAGAACTGACTGTAATGTATTTATAGTTGATAAAAGTGTTAGAATTTTTTATTAAATTGAAAAACCTCTATGTTTGTATAAATTGGTTGATGATGTAGACTATCAATCTTGTTTTACACAACCAAAACCAAAATGAGAGTTTAGAACGCCTTGGGGAAGAAAAATGAACTAAATAGTTTAAAACTTGAAAGATCAATAAAAGACATCGGTCAATATTTCTTATCCTGACTCAAAACCAAATACAATTGTATTACCTTCGGTATTAAAATGAATTCCGTTTTACATGTTTGTATAATGACATGCTACACTAGGTTACATAATATACTAAAAGACAGCAAAAATTCTTTATCTCACAATAAATATCTATATGTTACAAATATATATATGTGGTCACAGATCATATGTTTTCCTCCCAATACTCTGGTTTCTTTCTATGTTACAGTCATTACGGCTGATAAAAAAGTTTAAATTAAGGTCATAAATCTTTATCTGTTTTAGTCGTTGTAACTGTTATAGAGTTATCTCCCTTTACATTTTCCATTACTATTACTGGAAACTGCATATTGTTAGGTTAATGTATCTTTTTTTCAGGTTGAAATGCAACTGGTTAAGTTTATGTCCATTTACATTTATCATTGCCATCACTGGAAACTAAGGGCTGTTTGGTTATATCATTGGATAAGGATGAAATACAATGAAGAAGAACAGACACCTTGGAAATATGATAGTCAATTAATTGGTTTTCAAAAATTATTCCAGCAACTAAAAGGAGACTCTTCATCATTCAGACCCTGGCTTGTTCTCAGGGTGATAAAATCAACAAAATGAAATCAATTTTCCTGTGGAAATTAAATGACAAGCCCAACACAACAATGAGAAATATTTGTTTTAAAAACAATGTCTGGATGATTCAGTGTTTTACAAACAATATACAAAAAATATGAAACGATATTGTGGGATCTTTTGTTTGATAAGCAATATCAGGATGGTATGTAATGTCACTATATCTGCCATAAGCAAAAACATGCATTGAAATGGCGAATATTTAATTGAAAATGAACTGGTTAACTTTAATCGAGAAAAGATTTACTTTTCAAATTTTAAGTCCCTGCATTTTCATAGATATTTTGATACCAAGTGGTGAAATATGCAGGAGGCAAACATACATGTAAAATGGTATCAGGGTTCACAAACAACACCAGGGTAGAATTTGTAATTATATGACAGGTTTAAGTTCACATTTGTGTTTTCTGATGGCCATCATATTTGGTCAATATTTTGTTATACTGATTTCAGTCGCCATTTATATCCATGTTGTGTCACGAGACTTGTTTATGAATCTAAAAATAATGTCATTTCTTCTTAATAATTTCTCATTTTTTTCCATTTTATCAGTAATGTTATTGTTATCTTTAAAGTGAACCTCGATATTTATTAACCTGCCGATTAGGATTGCCTTCAAAATGGTTTAATTAATATCTGTCTCCACACCAGTTAATGACAATAACTATAAATTACCAGGTATACTGATATAAAATCTGGTTTTCAAGTTGCTAGGATTGAGAGATTTTACAACGATCTCCATGAAACATCAAAGGGACATAACCTCTTGATTTATAAATAAATCTTACATTGAACAGATTGATTAATTAGAATTGATGAAAAAAATGTGATGAACATATTTTAGTACAATTCAATTATTAAAAGAACATTCATTTAATAAGCTGCCAATGAAATGTATTATCTCAATGTTATTTACAAATAAGCTGAACAATTCTTAGATGTTATGACTGGCAGGACATTTGTACAATTTAAGGCAAATCGAAACTGTTGTGGAAACAAACTTGTACCTTATGGAAAACGGGCATTGTCAATCCTCATCTTTTGATTTAAAGGATGAAGAGAGGCTAGGGCTTGTATGAACTTGTGGCCTGCTACCAAAGGGATCCTATTGAATCAAAATATTAAAATATTGTAAAATATCTATGAAATATTATCAACAGAGTTAAACTAACAAACATACCCACCCACCAACAATTTGGGTTTTTTTTTTCTCTTAATCAGTTTTTATAAATGATTTTGGAAGTTTGCCTAATTTCTATTGTTTCCATAATGTTATATATACAAAAGAGAGCTTTTGTAGTGGGGATGTACAATGTGAAGTGAAAATATCTTTCATTGTAAATGAAACTTTTAGGATATCATTCGTGTCCATTTTCAGAGAAATCTTCAGGATATTCATTATGGTATCAAACTAATAATATAGAATATATTCTATTATGTTAATGAACTGAGACAAAGCAATACAAATTTTTTTTTGATAAATAAAGGTTAATTTTCTTCTGTAATTTAACATTACCAGAATGTAGATATTCTTACCAAATTTTTAACATGTAAATCTTTTCAACACTTCAATTTTGTTAAAAAGAATTACCTGATGGTGGTGAAAAAACCACAAGTTTGAATAACACAAGAAAAGTTAGCCCTATTTAAAAAAGAAGAAAACAATCGCCAAAAAAATCATGAATGTAATTTCACAACTCAAGCTTTATAAATACATGGTATATAAAACAATGAAACAAAAAACCTAAACAAAAAACATAATCATGAATCATACAATATGATGAGTATACAAATGATATTAATCTATAATGTTCAATGACAAGTTTTACTTTTGGCAATTTAACATTCAATTAAGAAGTGGAGGTGTGATAAGTTAGAACAATCCACTTATCTTGAACAAGTAATTACCCAGAATGCATCTTCCTGTTGTGAATATAGGCAAGAAATTTTAAAGATAATTTCCCTGATCCACTAATATTGATAACATTTGTCTCTCTTGGAAACACTGATTCTGATGTACCATCTACATTGTATGTTACCGTCACTAAGCCCAGTCTGATTTCAGATCTTCAATCCAGCTCATTCTTATGTTTGTGTATTATCTGATATCATCACTTGTCATTAAAGATGTCATTTGATGATGTCACGATTTTCTGTTGCTGAACACAAATTGTTCAAGTAGGAAAAATCTTAAATTAAACTTCATGTCCTGACCCTAAGGTCTACTCCTAGTATCACCGATTGGATCCTGCTGTTGTCGTCAGAATTTGTGTTGCAAAACTGAAATCAATCAATGTTGATCTCAAATGTCAAATTTTCATTCTGAAAACCTGAATGATATTTTAAAACTTCTCTTGCTCAACAGTGCTGAATGTACCATTTCCCAAAATCATACAGCTATTTGCAGATGAAAACGGCAAGGTAACACACAAACTATCGATCAGCATGTCTGCAACTGCCTTCAAGAAGACACTGTTCTGACCAAATATAGCACTGATGCAATCTGGCAGCTGTTATTTCACATAAACCAATGACACAACAGTTTCTGTACACAAATGATGCAGCTGCTGTTCACATCACAGGATATACAGCACATGAACTGATGCTGTAATATATATATATGTGCACATACAATGATGACATCATGAGTGATGTCAGCAGTTATTGCACTCCTTACAATCTTGTATCTTCTGTAGAAGTTCCTTCTTTGGTGTGTACATAAGATTAGCGAGAGATTTTTTCACACGTAGTGATGGATGTCGAGCCTTGGGATTCTGTGCCCAACATTCCTGAATAAGTCTAGAGAGCTGCAACATAATCTGGAAGAGAAAACATACATACCACATAAATATCTGAATTTGTAAAGTGTTTGTTGATGAAAACATTTAATATTATTAACAATGACATATAAATACCTTCTTTCTTGTCAAAGCTTTTTTTAAACAACTTCTACATGTTAATTGTATATCCTTAGCTTTGGAGTACTCAAACTTGGCACATACACTAGTATTGTAAACAAACACAAGAAAAGCTTAATTGACTTTAATTTCACCTACAATGTAGACCTAACAGGACAACATGTCAACTTTTATACTTGAGCTATAGATAGTGCTAACAAACAACTAAATGTTGACACCATATAGAATGACTATTTACTGAATTCATGGTTTAACTTACTGTAAAATCAAATACTTCCATTGGGTTCAATTTTCACTGTTGTGAGACAAAAACTTTATGAACACTTTATTTTGTGGATAAATATAGCTTAATAAATCCACATACACTTATTCTAACAGTTTGTGGACATATGGATTTAGGGATTAACATACTAACAAAATCTATTAAAATCAATCTCCTGCAAAAAAATCATGATAACAATGTAATTAGTTTCTGTAAAAATGATTACAAAGTAATTAGTTATTAAACATCATGATAACAATGTAATTAGTTACTGTAAACATCATGATTACAAAGTAATTAGTTACTGTAAACATCATGATAACAATGTAATTAGTTACTGTAAACATCATGATTACAAAGTAATTAGTTATGTAAACATAATGATTACAATGAATTAGTAATGGTAAACATCATGATTACAAAGTAATTAATTACTGTAAACATCATGATAACAATGTAATTAGTTACTGTAAACATCACCATTACAATGTAATTAGTTACTTACAGGATCTGACGTCCATCTGTTTGGCACCATTGGCCTCTGTGTATCCACAGCCACCACTTTTCTCATATCCTCGAATGAAGGATCCGACGGCACCACATCCCAGAAAGGAGGTTTATATTCTTCTGTTATACCTAAAGAACATGTAGCAACATAGATTTTTATATCTATTTCTGCCATTAATTACAAAGTAATGTTTGATGGTCATAGATAAAGAAAGAGTTAAAAAATTAAAAAGTGTAACATTTTAATCTTCCTGATATTATCCATATCTAGTGTAATTACATGTCAGCATTTCAATTTACAATATTTAATTGGTTACACAGAGGGTGACTTCAGACTATGTCAAACCCAACAGGATAGTAAATGTAAATATTAGGATTATGTCAAAACTAAGAGAAGATGATCAATGTTAATATTCAGACAATGTTAAAGCTACGACTGAGGTTAGCCAAGGTATTAAATTCCGATTACATATAAAAACTAAGAGAGAGAGGTAAGTCAATATTCAGACTATGTCAAAACAAACAGGCAAGTCAAGGTAAATATTCAGATTGTGTTTAAAAACTAAGAGAGAGGTTAGTCAATATTCAGACTGTGTCAAACTGAGAGAAATGTTAGTCAATGTAAATATTTAGACTGTGTCAAAACTAAAACAAAGGTTAGCCAGTCTTAATGTTCACTGTGTATGATTAGTCTTATTTAAAAAAAAAATACTAATGCTTGCGTCCCTCGCATTTGAAGAGCTTACTTGTGCAACATGTATGACTAGTAACTAAATATTTGGATGTTATACAAAGCAAACAGAGTTATCTCCCCTAGTCTGACATGTTCATCATCATAACATTTAATTTAACACAGCAATTATATGATTTACATTCACAATTTACAAGTCTTCTTTTCACACCACCTTTTTCACTTTTCTACAATAGCAAGGATTCTAAATCACTCACCCCCAATTGTGCAACGCCGAGCTACCTCCCATAGTACTAAACCAAAAGCATAAACATCGACTGCTTTAAATGAATCAAAGAAATAAGGATTCAATGTTTCCTCCAGCAACTCTGGTGCCATGTAACGCTTTGTTCCTACTTTATTATTCCGTCCCAAATCTATCTTGTTGTTTTCTTGTGAATGTGTCACAGCTAGTCCAAGGTCACCAATACAACATGTACCATCACTTTTAACAAGAATGTTTTTAGATTTGATGTCCCGATGAGCAATCGCAGGTTTCCCCTGGTTTCCAATGATCTCTGTATGGAGATGGACAAGTCCTGCGGAAGCTGAATGCATCAGAAGAAGCATAGATTCATGGTCAAGGATAGTACGTTGTAGATAATCGTACAGAGAGCCATTCTCATGGTAATGCATGATCAACCACAGCTGTGTACACGAGTTACGACTGGTCATATCAGATGCATAATATCCCAAGATGTTGTCATGACGCAACAGACAAGTGTTGTAGATTTCTGTTTCTCTTGACCAACTGGCTTCATCACGTGACAGAAATATCTTCACTGCTACATTCTCATCGTGGTAGCGCCCCCTCCAAACTTCTCCATACCTTCCTTTTCCTGTAGTAATACAGGAAACAGAAAGATCAATGGAATTATTATTGAAAACAAGTTTATTATGATAAAGGTTGCTGAGTGTGAATACCACCAATGATCACAATAATTCATGTGATATAGGTCTTAAACATAAATCTTAAAAGTTAGAGCAGAAAAAAAATATCACACTTCAAAGAATTAAAAATATTATCTTGAATCTGAGTTGTTGCTTTGAAATCAGTTTGGCTTCAGGAAAATTTTATTCCACCTGCTACTTATAACACTGAATTCGGTCATATAATCCCTCATTTATTTCAAATTTTAAGATTTTATTTTGATTGAAGTTACTTCCTCTATTTTAAGATGAGTTGCTTTCCTTCTCACACTGAATCATCTAAATGTCTATTTTAATAGGAATTGCTTCCCCTGTCACATAAGAGACATACAATCAATCCATACCTATACATTCCACCAGGGTCACTTGTCGTGCCACGGTCAGCTGAACAAGGAAAGGCAAACCTGAACCACTTCCTGATGTGCATGACTGATCATATACTTCCTGTTGGACACAAAATATTTTGTTTTCAATTCAATTATGATCAACATCTTTTTTTCTGTTGATATAAACTTGAGTTTGACAATGATCATGTGATAGATATCAATTTCATCTCAAACTGCACAGAGAGTTATAAAAGTAAACTGAAATATCAACAGATACTCATCATTAGTTATTTACTCATCATACTCGGCAAAACAGTGAAGTCACCAAAAAGTATCATTATTTCTAAAATATCTGTTCATATACTTCAAAAACAGAAATATCGTCGTAAAAAATCCTCAGGGCTGAATTTATTAACAATAATTTTTTACCTTTAGTGTACTATCTCCAACCTGGGTCGCACGAATGCCTCCGTATTCCTCAGGCAAAAGTTCCTCTCGAACACGCAGATTCTCATGAAACTCCCGGCGCCTCTTACGAATGTGTTTGAAGAAAAGCCAGACTCCCAGCAAGGCCACAATAAGAATCACAATGGGAACACCAATTGCTAGGAACAGTTCAAAATGGAAACTGCTTTCCTCCTCCTTATTCACTACTGGAATATGACATTGTGTGTTAATTGTGACATGTACATATGTCATTATTTGATCTGACCTAACAACTAAATTAATGAAACATGTAGGGAGAAATGATGATTCTGAGTAAACCATAAATTATATGGAGAAAATCTTAATCAAGTTTTCATTCATACAAGGTTTGTAAAAAATAAGTCTGAGATTTTTCCATTTTCCGAGACTTTGGAGAGATAAAATGAAATATTAGAGTTTCATAAATCTCATATGAAATGGATACAAGTGAAATGTTCTGTTTAAAACACATCTATATTTTAGCCAATATTTATGAAAATATTTAGACTGGAATAAAATCTTATTTGGCAATATTATCATTCGACATCCTTATCTTTGATGGTGTCATGATGCTATTGAAACAATATAAACCTTCACATGGTAGTTATGTGATGTATTTAATCCAAGTAGACTCACCATGTAATTTTCAGTGATAAAAAACTAAGATTTCCCATTTACTATTATCAGCAACAGCTTATTTATCGTAATGATTTTAAAGCAGGTTTTATTCTCAACAAGTTTGGAAAAAATTTAGATGCTTAGTCTCTTACCTGGATCACTCCCTTTGAACTCGTGTGACGAGAAAGTGGGTATTGGGTCATTACAAAGGTCACCGACGCAGCATGCCATAGCAATGACACCCTCCATCTCCCATCCTTTACGACGCCGACCCTGGCAGTTCATATTTTGGTTTTCATCATTTCGTGCACAACCCTGAGATATTATTTCCACACTGTTAACCAGTTTTCTGCTGGTAAAGCACTGCAAAAAAGACAAAACCATAGTAACACATTAACATGCCAGTTAACAATAAAGCTATTTGACTGCCCTTTATAAACATTTGTGTGACAATGCCAGTATATTAACTTACTCAAAAGATGCATTATCTAAAACGAAAAAAATACCATCCATGGTGTGACTATTATGATATCAGGCCCCACTTGTATAAAACATCTCAACTTGAGATTTCCTCAAGTCGAGATTTTCCTCAGCTGATATCTCCTCAAAAATGGCTTGTATAAAATTTTCTCAAGGAACAGGAGGAAGGCATCGGCTAGGATGTTCTGAAATTCCTTGAGGAATTTTCATACAAGATATTTTCAAGGAGATATTAGCTGAGGAAAACCAGAACCCTGGATATAGAAACAGAAAGGGTTCATCATCAAAAGGGTTGTCCAACCTGAAGCATAGTACTGTCCATAATGAAGAATTCATTTCAGAAAAGACTTCAATAGACTCTGCCCATATTGACTATAAATGACATAGCGAGATAGCTTTAATATCACCAGTACATTATGTAACTTTTTAAAAGTTCTGGTTATATTTTCTTCCAAAACCAAGGTTGGTAAAAAAGGATATTCCTAACCAGATCTGCACTTATTATTTATAAAATCTACGCTAAGTGATAAAACTTATCACACTCTCGTCATTATGATAAAGACTTTAATTTTAAGAAACGCCGGCCCCTTCACAGTGACCTAACCATAATAACTTACCCCGGCTCCCTTCATGGTCATACAGTGGCCATTTTTGTCACATTGGTTATCATTCTTCGGGAGGCATGCACACCTGTACTCAGATGGCTCCTGATCAGCAAAGGCAGTCAGGTTAGCATCATCAGGTGGGCCAAGTTTGTGACCTGTCAAGAAACAACAAGAAATAATTAAATATAAATTACGATTTTTCAAATTATGATTTTATATGGGTTACCCTGAACACCAGAGCAGAATATAGGAGACACAACGACCAGTAAGTTTAGCACTAATTATAGATCACTACAGGGTCACAATGGCTTCCTGTTGTACAGCAATCTCTACAAGAGTTGTCTTTCCTTAACAGTCACAATAAACCTCAGTAAACAGCTACCAATAGTTGACCTCGCGGTTAGGGTCAAAGTTGGACATTGTGCAAAACTATGGTGGCTTCCTTGACTGCACCAATGAAGGCCACAGCTGTAGACTGTTTTGTATGCCATCGATCAGCATAGAAAACATCATTTGCACTTTTTAAGAGGTTATGTGCTGATATTGTAGCCAATTTACTACTAATTATCACTGATATCTCAGTACATCAACACATTAGTAGTTGAAAAGTGACAGTATCAAAATGTAAACATGACCGTTCGCGGCTATTTACTCAAAGTTAATTTTTCCACGATAATATAACCTTTATAATCATATAAACTAATGTAGTCATTTTCCAGATAAACAAACATTTATTTTCAAAATAAATACACAAATTACAAAACAGAAAAATTATGAAATACTTTAGTTTACACAAATACATCTTTCAAGAATCATGAAGTGGCATGAGCCGTTTACAGATATGTTATTGGTGTACCATAATGCACTCTCAGAGAAAGTTGTACAGAAGAAAACTCTGTCACATGACTACTTGTATTACAAAACACAAAAAGGTCAAACGACTTCCTGTATTGCAGAACAAAACAAGGTCACATGACATAATGTTAAACAATAAAGAACAGTTGCATGAGGTCCTGTATTACACAGCATAGCAGAGCCATCATGACTTCAGTGTAATACAGAAGACAAGATCACATGACTTCCTGTATTATAGATCATAATAGGATCACATCTTCATGAAATACAGAAGACAACAGGGTCACATAACTTTTTGAAATACAGAAGACAACAGGATCACATGACTTCATGAAATACAGAAGACAACAGGGTCACATGACTTCATGCAATACAGAAGACAACAGGATCAGATGACTTCATGAAATACAGAAGACAACAGGGTCACATGACTTCATGCAATACAGAAGACAACAGGATCACATGACCTCATTAAATATAGAAGACAACAAGATCACATGACTTCATGAAATACAGAAGACAACAGGGTCACATGATTTCAGAAGTTCCTGTAAGTACTAAGTACTACACATCAAATACATTAGTCAGGGGATATTGAATCTGTGGTACATACAACACAAAAATGCAATATGGCAAGTTTATTATGCATAACATTGTATGTGACAATTTCTGTTATGGACTATCATATATTGACCAATTAAAACAACATCCAAACTCTCTTTTTTGAGGAAAAAAGCTAATCCTACAATGGTAGCATCTTACACTGTTTCTCAGTAAGAGGGCTTATATATTTCCAAGATCATGAGCTGAAGCCCGGATAGAAATTGTTGTAAAAATCGTGTTCTTTCATTACATCTTACCATCCATTGTAAAATCACCAAAAACCCCAGGGGGCCGAGATCAACCATTTATGCAAAACTGATTCAGATCAAATTTTGGTAAAATCCAATCGTTCCATAAGGAGGAGTAGGATTTTAAAGGACTAGCCAAATTTCCCCTTTTGGGCCCACCCTTCAGGCCCTGGGGCTGGGGGGGGGGGGGGGGGGGGGGGGGCTGGGACACATCATTTATACAAAAAATGTTCCTCTTCCCCCTCAGGATGCTTCTGAACAAATTTGGTCAAGATCCCCTCAGTTGTTCATGACTAGTAGCAATTTGTGGAAAAGGTTGACACGACAGATGACAGACAAGATATGCCTAATGCCTTTCGGGCCAGGTGAGCTAAACATTTTTACACTATCCCATAATAAGCTACTTGATTTTGAATCTGAGGCAAGGCAGGATAATTATAGTATATAACTTAATGTCTTCCTAAGTGACACTCATCCATTCAGGAAATAATCACTTATATCCAAGTAAGTAGGCACACTTATTTCAGAAGCTCTGTCCCATACATACTGCTGTCAACCAAATTATATACCAGAACCAAACAATGACCACAGTAAAATTTATATTACATATGTTTACATCTATACATTACTTTACATAAACAATTTGATGTCTCGTTAAAGGATTTGTCTCTAAATAACACTAAATTACGTCTACGTCAGTGACATCGTTTATCTCAGAAACCTTTTATATTCAAATATGTGTGGAGTAGATATTGTGTTTTTTAAGAACCTGCTAAATAATGGTTTGTCCTGTGGTATTATTTGCGGTTTTGTAATTCATTAAACTTTAAAAACCTTAATTGCTTTAGATAGAATGTGGTGGACCTTTCTCATGTTGTTCAGTAAGGAAGCTACTAAAATGAATCACCACTATAAATTGATCACGTCTGTGCCTTGGTCAAAACAAAATTACAAACAAACAACATCCTAACATAAATTTTTTAAGTTAAGAAAGAAAGGGATAAAGGATTTTCCATATCAACTACTACAGCCTTGACACAAATATTATCTAGTATATGTAAAGGTAGTGATTCTTTGTTTGTAGAACTATGATCAAAATTGAGGAGTGTATATAAACCAGCATAGCTTACATATAGTAAATCAGATTTTATTTTGTCCATGCCCAAACAAAGCCATCTAATTATAAGCCTCTTAGGAATATCAAAGACATTAACGATCCTAATCTGTGGACAGCTTTCAGTTTTCTTAATAGGAAGTTGATAATATGTTGAGTGGCATATAGCCTTAATATAATGTAATAATCAAGCTCACGGTTCTCTGTATCCACATTACAAATATCCCTCGACCACGTCTGAGAAAATCAGATAGATCAAGGCGCTTTAACAACAAGCACCATCAAATTGTTCCAGTAGTGACAACTATTCTAGCTTAGTTACGCCTTTCATGGATGGATTTACTTCCTTAGAAAAAAGGAAGAAAAAATAATGTATTCAAAAAACAGCATGTCCCAAGGTTTTTAATTCTTAAGTTGTTATTTCCCATTGATTTACCTATTTGCAAATCAATGCCCAGGCTTTATATATATTCCACCCTGTTTGGCTATGTTTTATTTCACTGTCAAGTAGCTGAGAGAATGTGGGAGCGACTTGTCGATCCGAGTCCTCAGTGTTGTTCCCGAGAACCTGTATCAATTCTGCCGCGCTAGGCAATTGGGGGATGCGTTGGCCTCACAAAGCTGAGTACTTCAGATGAGACATGAAGGCACCAGCGTATTATGTTTACAAGTTTCCATCTGATCGCCATTGTCCAGAGTGAAGAAATATATTTGTTCTGTTCCACACAAACACATCATCTAAAGCTCAGTCAACTTTCAATCAATTTTTTTTAAAAGTTAATAGATTTGATTTACTTTCAATTTAAATAAGAAAACTAACATTACCGTAATTTCCTATCTCAATGATTAGCATTAATTCAAAATTACTTTATTTCCAATCAAATCTAATAACACATCTATTAAAAGGTTATACTTGCTCACGTTTAAATCAACAATACTCGGACAGTGTGATTGTCTGCAACAGAGCGATCACTTCAATAGAAGGTTCGATAGCTCTTGATGCCAAACTTATTGAAAACAGAAGTTCTATGTAAAACTACACAACATAAAAACCTTTAATCTCCAAACTCTATCTTAGTGTTAATAGGATCACTCAAAAGTGTACATTTTTCTCTCCCATTGATCAAAACGAAATTTCCTGTTTTTAACAAGCCGTAAAATGTTATGAAAAGCTTTGTGCTATAATTTTTAGGTATTAGAAATCTCAGTACAACACCATGAATGGATTGAATGTAAAATACAAACACATCAATATCGCTTGAGAAGATCATTTCCCCCTAATTAAAACCTAACTTTTTTTTTACAAATTTGAGACGTGTCTCGAACAAAGCAGAGATGTAATGGTCTCGGGTATGAATATATTTGAATTAATGACAGACCCACCTGTTACTAAAACCTTCAATGTCTTGAAAGGAAAATAGGCCAAACTTTTTTTTATAAAGAATCAATTAACAACATTTATTGGAGGGACAATACCATTAGACTTAACGAGACACTTGTACACTTGTGCCAGTCTTCTTACATTATCTATCTGCTGCAGTCAAAACAGTCTAAATTTAAACATGCACCTGTACAGGTCGTGGCACTGAATAGCAAACCAACAAGTAAATTGTTATCATTTTGGAATTGGACCACCCATTAGGATTGCTAAGTTCTCTCTATGTTATATTGAAATTGCGATATATATATATAGTAAAATCATTAATTTTCATGGGTTTTTCATTTTCATACAATTTGTGGTTTATGTCCACGAAATAATAAGCAGATGAAAATTGACATGATTCTTAGGACTTGTGGGTTTAGCAAGTGAAAACAAAGTGCCAACATAAAGGTATATTTTTGTAAAAAAACCCACAAAACTTGAGCCACCATAAATTTATGATTCTATGGTATATGATACCAGAAACAAGAAATTTAATGTTTGCATCCTACCAGCCATTCGTTTACTGCTAGCTAAATATGTATTGCCGAATTAAATGTCAAATATTTGGTAGCTTACACTTATGACTTCATTGATAGTTTTAGTTCAATATTTATGGCCAATCTTAAAATATTTTAAATGTAGGTCAAGGTCACAGTCAAGGTCACATGGTCAAAACGTGATAACAGTTGGCAAGAGACAACAAACTGACAGACTAAAAAAAAATCAACTTGCTCCCAATTTTTTGATCTGGGGGCATAAAAATATTACATGAACTATAGGAGACAAGCTGTATGGTGTATCACCTCTGTAAGCTACCAAATATTTGACTTTTAATTTTTAGCCAGCAGAAACAAATGTCTGGTTACAAGCCTGCCCTTTTCTATTGCTACTCAGCAAAATTACATGCATATA